CAGGACATACCGGAATATATAACCAGTTTTTGAGAGAACAGCACATGCGTTTAGAATGATGCAAAAAACATTTGATTCGTATTAAAAGAAAAAAAATGTAATATGTATTTAAAAAATATGCTATTAAAAATAACTTCAGTTTAATATGTGTAATATGCAGATCATTACACAGAAGTTTTGATAAGTTTTTTGCGATTTTAAAATTAAACAATATTATGTGAAAATTATGTGAAAATAGTATTGTCAAGAGACGAAGAGGGCTTTTATGTAAGCGTAAGTTTTCTAAGACAAAATATTTTTGACAAAAATATGAATAAATGTACGTCAAAGAGTAAAGTAAGCATTGTATAACTATATTTAAACTAACATTATTAAATCAAAAATATAAGAAAAGCCATCCGAAAAAAACTTAATAAAAATAAAAATGCAAACAAATAATAGAAATATAGGTAATTGAGAAAAAAGTTCAATATATAGTTTTCCAACATAATGATTTTCAGTGACCGTTCATTTTATTAATTTTGCGAAAGGGAAGTTTAGATTTTCGCAAAAAACAGATTTGCTAATTTTATGTTTTCTCGAAGTTTCAAATCATTCTGAATTGAATGAAACCAAATTTGGAGAAACTATTGTATGTATGTATGTGAGACCTTTCGTCTTTGTTGAAAAATAATTGTTTTAAGATTTTGATAAAACTTTGTATAGCTATAATTAAGCCTTAAACTTCAAACTTTACAGGCCTATGATAAGCAATTGACTTATAAAAATTCATCAAGTTTAGATTTTTGCCGCGTGCTTGAAAGATTCCAATCAGAATGTATGCCGAAGCATTTGCACGTTCTGTGATTTCGTAGGTAGCTACTGATTACAGTTGACGTCCACAATTGGTAAAATACATGACAAAATGAAATGTGTGTTTCCGAAATAAACAGTTGAACATTTTATCTAAATAGCTAATTCTAATTCTTGTTGATTATTTACACTTAACGAAAAGTTTAAGTAACTTGCCTTAAGGCAACATGCTACTTGCAACTTGTTTCAGAGACAAATGATGAATTGAGTTTATTGTAAGTAATTACATTATGTGTCTAATAAATAATAATAATACATTTATAATAATAATCATGAGATATTTTTAAGTTTACCTCAATTGTTATCGCAATCTATGCAGGAGAAAATCAGCATTCCCCTCATATTTCCAGGAAGTCCTGAAAACCGAGTCTTGCATATACTTTCCATCAATCTTCTTAGTTGCTGATAATCCCATGCAGAAAATTTACACGCACTGTAGGTACAAAATAACACAAATTCGGCACACGGGACGATGTATCGATCGACCCGTACGCTAGCGTCGTGACACCTCAATTAGTAATTCAGATGAAAAATTCTCCCGAATCATTTAATACACGACCACATTCGACACAAATTTTTGGGCCTAGAAATTACTTCATAATTATCAAAATATAGGTAACAAATGATACTGGCGAAAATCAATGCAAGATCTTCGAGATCTATTCCAACTAAAATCCCGCGCGTTAGAATTAATATGAAACAATTCTTAGAAGCTTTAAGGAAAATTTATAGCATATTGAGAAGAATTGCGTTGGTCATTATTGTAAAAGTTCTACGTGGCAGGCACGAATACATATCAGTAATTCGCGACACAAAATGGCGACCAAAACAGTATGCACGACCTTAATATCTTCCACGTCCTATTTAACACTTATTGCTTTCCAAAAACCATCACCAAAATCACAAGCAAATTAGAAACTATTCCAGAGAAAGAAAAAATCCCAACATAGTTCACTATAAAAATTTAAACAATATATCAACAGGAAAAACTTTGGCACTGCACACCTAAACTTTGCATTAATCCATTTAACGTTCACAAAAGTTTCGTCACGCAATTCGACTTACGCCGAGCTTTCGAAAAGCTCAAGCTAGTTCGAAAATCCGTCGCGACCGCGTTCAAAGGTTTTTCACAGATTTTTTTCACAAGTTTTTCCAATGACGTTTCGTACGCGACCAGCTGAGTTTTCGTCTCCCACGTCGGGGTGTGCGCGTTGTGTTTTTCTTCGACAATCAGAGACATCCAGCGTGAAAATTTAGGAAACTGGACAACCGTTCGATATACCGGAACATGCGCGTTGAGTATGAGGGAAATAGTCACGTAATACCAACAGCGGAAGCAAAGTTCGTGTTTCCGGTACAGCGTATAAGTTTTAAACCATACATTATTTGGAAAGAGTTCTTATTGAATATAAATTACTAATATTTTAATAATCGTTAAAAACTGTATATATATATACAGGGCCGGTCCTACCTTGATCGATGCATGCAAAAAATGCGGGCGCACGCCTTAGGGGGCGCCAAAACGAGATTTTGAAATGAAATTTTCAATATAGTTCTTTTTTCAATATAATTCAAAAAACATATAATTTCTTTGCATTTTTCACTAATTTTTGAGCAATATTTAAGATGCAATTTTGGATATTTTAAATAATGAAAAATCAAAATAAAATAATCCAACATAAAGCACCAGTGTTATGTTTAATTATGAAAGGCTAGAATTTTTCTGCTTTCCATGATTAGTTTAATAGAATAAATCGCATACAAACTCCAAATAAATAAGCAAAATTTTTCAATAATATTATTTCAAGTAATAATAAACATACAGAAATGTTTGGAAGTCCTAAAAAGTTTGGATTAAAAATAAGAATTTAGAAGTAGTTTGGTAGTAATTATAAAGAAACCCGCGAATCACCACTATATTCTAAATAATTTTAAAATCAATGCGCTTTTATATTTATATATCTATTTTTTGTGTGCTAAAACCAGAGTTATTAGAAAGTATTTAAAAAAATAACGTAAATCTTACAATTTTAATAATAAACTGTTAAATCAGTCAAAATAATAAGAGAGGGGCGCTAGAAAAAAAATTGCATGCGGGCGCTGAGGACCCAGATATATATATATATTATATATAATATATATATATATATGAACTATATGCAATTCGAACCTGATTCAAATCAGATTTTACTTGATACTGATTCGAATCAACAAAAAAAATATCACTATATAAAATGATAGTAATATCAAAACGCTTACTAATACATAAAATCACAAATCCCAACATGATGTGCCAAATTTAAACAAATCATGACATTCAAAAAAGGAAAACATATTTTTTAATCAATAAAAAAAAATAACTAATCACGCTATTCATCCGAATTCTGACCCGAATCATGCGACTCATCCGATCATACGATTCAACTCACCCCTGATCCGAATCAAGAGCTAAGGTTCAGAAAAGCAGCACCGATCTTCGACTCTGATATGAGTAGTAGTTTGGTTTATTGAAAAAGAGCCCTGAAAGCGAACCCGTTCGTAAAACATTAAGATATAATTTTGATAAAATAATAATAATATATTAAAATAATATCACATATTATTCATAATAAGTTTCAGTAAAAAAAAATAAAACAAAATTTATTTATTATAATAATTAAATACCAATTTTTATAATTTAAATAAAATAAATTAACTATATCTAATAATTTTATACAATTCATACAAAAATCTTACAAAGCACCATCGTTTCCAAATAAATTACTGAATAAATCGCTAAACTCATGTTCACCTAAACGAGCCTTAAAATTTTGATACCAAATAAGAAATAAAACTATACCGTTGATCAGTAGTAAAGCTATTGTCGGTATAAGAGTTGCTAAAGCCTTTAATCCTTTAGAAGAAAATGTGATCAGTGCAAATTTAGCAGCAATTTTAACTAAAATAATCGGAACCAGACTGCCCAAGCCCACTAAATGTTGACCAACTCCCTTTCCACCCAATACTTCGCTTAAAGAATTTAGAAAGGGGGATAAAAGCGACTCCTTGCCATCTTCTAATAACTTTTTGATTGGTGTCTTTCCTACATCTTTCTTGGGTTGCTGTTCGTTCAATTTTTTAACAGGTGGTCCTTCCAACTTTGTTTTAATTATAGATTCTCCTCCGTTGTCTATTACTGGGACTTCAGGATTAATATTATCAGGAATGCTTTTCCTTGAGCAAATGCTTCCAACTCATGATGCATTTCGGCTAATTCGCTATGCAAACTGTTCATTTCAAATTTATTTTGCATAACTTCCTCGAACAATCGACGTTCTTCTTCTCGGTGCTTTTTCTCTGAAACCGAATCGCCATGGTCTATCAGGTTTGTGTGGATATCATGATTGATATCCAGAGGATGGTGTTCTGGAGGATGTTGTTGAAAGAAGAATTGTGGAGGTGGTGGCGGAGGATGTGGAACTTGTCCAAATGCAGTTACCGGATGCGGATATTGTTCACCTATAACCGGATAATGAACATCGTTATGTTCTGGCAGATGAGTAGAATCCGCAATGGGAATATTACTTTGATCTGCAGTAATGCACGACAAAACACCAATAAATAAAACTCCTAAAACTCTTTGATACATTTTTACAAATTTAATTTTACTAAAATTATTTTTTTAGCAGTGTTATGAATGAATATTCAAAAGTTACTATGCATTTTTACTCCAGCGAGCGTAAATTTATAATTAGAAATTTGCTAACACAGCAGCAACAAGCGTAGGCGTATACGATTCATTCATAAAATTGTTATTGATAAACTATAAACAATTGTTTGAAGCATTTGGAAATCGTCCTGAATTAATGGAACGGAAACGCAAAACGTAAATACGCATAGAATTTTGTGACCGGATTTGATGGCGTAATGTACTCTAATGCTACAAATATTCAAGAAAAAAAACTGAATAGAAAATTGGTAATTTAGTTAGAACAGATGGTACTAATGATAATTTCCAGTATTTAACCAACTTCAGTTAATAACAAAATTCTAGAACAATAATCATTCCTTTTTTATATTATAATAATTACAAAATATTTTATAATTGCTGTAAAAGTTTATCATAAAAATACTAATTTTATAAAAATAAACCATAATAATTTATGAATATGGGACGTCCATTTTATTTTACTTATGGTAAATTTTTTTTTTCTATTGTACTATAAAATTATAAGTATCATTGTAGAAAATTAAAGGTTATGGCATTTTAATCATTTGAAATATTATTTGAATATTTAAGAAATTACAAGCTATAGAGACTTTCTAAAGAAGCTTGATGAAAACAATACACAGAAGGAATTTAATTACACAGAAACAAACATATATTTAATAAATAAGAAAGTAGCCATTGAAGATGCTAATGATATTATTAAAGGTAAATAATTCATCACAATTGCTTATTAGATATAATTAATAATAAATGTTTTCATAAATGGTGATTCAGAAACAAATAAGCGAAAAAAAAACGAACAAAGCAAAACTTTAGCCCAACACGCACCGGTCAATAAATATTGGTATTATTTTTACCGGTTTAATTGCATGTGAGTATTCACTTGAGATAAAATAATTTTAATAAGCACTTGGAAATGGTTTCTTAAATAGTCGCTGCATTCGCCACGTATAATTTCAACCAAAACTAATTTTGTTGAAAATGCGCAAATGGATAATCTTGACGAGGGTTACACAGACATACTAATCTAGGAAACAAGAAAAGTGAGTGGACATAATATTAAAATTTGAAATATATTTTATTATGAAAACCTTGAAGATCATTTCTATAATACCCATAATTATTATGAGATATATATTCACTTGTAATTTATAGAAATTTAATCGTTTAACATTAAATAAAAATCATTCTTCTTTTCCTCATTAATATACTCTTCTAGGCCTAGCTTGGAAAGCTGAAACAGATAACAATACGAAATCGTATGAAGGATACTGGTTTATTAAATACTTCATTGGAATTCCTATTTCATTTGATAAGTTTGTATTTTAATATTTTAGATTCTAAATATATTTAAATCTTGTCTTTTGGCAACTATACACTAAAAATAATATCGTTGTAGATTTAAATATTATCAGAATTCATGTTATTTATTAATAAATTCATATTTTTAATTTAGAGCAAGCCAGATAGACTCACTGCTAACACCATGGAAAAATCCTGGAGATTGCTGGGCATTTAAAGGGTAAATTATTTCAATTTTTTTTTAAATTTAAATTTAAGCAAAATATGCTGTCGATTGCAAGCATGCAGTATAAATAAAATTATATTTTAAATACATTTCAAATAAATATATTCAACCCTTTAAAAGACATGGTATAATTACAACATATGTAAATAACATTCCTAATAATGAGTTAATTAACTTATTATTTATTTACCATTGTTACTCCGAATTAGTTATAAATAATTTTGTCATAGAATACTTTATTACCCAGTTCATTAACAAATTAATGTATGTATGTCTAATGAATTTACATAGTATTGTTTTTTTTATTCATAGAAGCAAGGGACAAGCTATAATCACTTTGCAAAATCCAGCAAAATTATCCCACGTTACAATGGAACATATTGTATCAGATAGAAATAGCGCTCCTTATGAACACGAAGTACATGTAAGAATTATTAAAAATACATTAATAAATCCAATTATTAAATCATTGCTAAATTTGACATAATTAATGTTATAGGGAATCAGATTCAACAAAAGTATTTGGCTCGGATCTTACTTTTATGATAAAACTGGTTCAAATATTCAAACAAACAAATTAATACATGTTGAACCTGAATACTTGTATAAAAAAATTGTGGTAAGTATTAATGAAAATATTGAAGTAAAAATTATGTTATATGTTTAAATAAATCGCAACATATTCTTGCAGCTAACTATTAAGAGTAACCATGGCAATCCAGACTATACATGTGTATACAGGTTTCGTATTCACGGATTTACAGAGTAATAAAATATATAAAAAATAAATCTTCAGATAATTAGCAATTATGTTTCACAAAATATTTCAAATTCTTTGAACACCACAAATAGATTTTTAATGTGTAATATATTCAGTTAAAAGTAATTACATATACAAGAACCAACAGTTTTTAAGTGAAAATTTCAGATTGAGTTCATTTCATGCAGACAGATAAATCACACAATGCATATGTATAAGAGGATAGAAATATAACAAAAAAAAATTGTGCATGAATACACAGATAGATTTGAAGATCAGTAAATAACTCAAAGTGATGAAATTCATATTTTCCAAGAAAGGAAGGCACCAACCCAACGTAAACAAGTTTTATTGTTAAAACATCTTACCATTTAATACAAAACAGTCTGATCTTTACTAGTTATTGAAGGGTATGCATTTGATGTATTCAAAGACTTGGATGTCACTGGTGCATTTAAAACTATTTCTATTTCTTCAAAGTCCTGTAACCTTTAATATCCTTATCATTTCTAAGTCGAGTATTAGGTAATTTTCTTAATCTTGAAATTTGTGCAGGAATTATATCAAATTCACTACAAACGATGTTGAGTAAATGAGAGTAAGTTAAATTGCTTTTAGAAAGTTCACATTCCACAAAATCTGTGTCTGCATTATTTGCTATTCGTAGTTTGATAACAATACAATCTGAAAGTATTAAAAATTTCTTATATTCAATACTATGTATATACATACATATACAATTCTGAAATCTGAAAATCTTTATGTTTTGACATAATTTCTTGCATGTCAAAGAATTTTTATTTTAATGAATTCATAATTGAATAATAGTAAGAAAATAAATACCATCTTCATTTGCTTGACAAATACACATCTTTAGGACTGTGTGATCCATTTATTTGATTTATCATGTTCATATTATACAATTATCTTAATCTACCTGCAACAGTCCAAAACTTCCTTACTTTATTTTTAGGTTATTGTACAATTTACATACCTAACTAACAATTATTTTAAACCAATTGTTCGTTCTTGATTTCATGAAAAATCAGATTCTCCACAATTAATTTTATGTGATATAAATCTCAAAAATAACAACAGAAAAATATACAAACTTATTTTCTCTCATACTATGTAGAATCACTGACAATTAAGGATTGAGGTTACTTAATAAAAGAAATTAGCATATCTATCAACTTTTGATCATTAAAAAATTTTCTCCGGGATAAGGAGATAATAACAAAACTGCTTAACAGAAGTTCAAACCATTACGCATATGGAAAAATTTATCAAAAACATGAAGACCACAATACATATTTTAAAACCACAAGCCTCTAGTCCTTTTATTGACAAGCATTAACCATTAATTTTTAATATATATAATGATCTTTTAAATCAAGATTTTACTATTTTCTTTTGTTTATTTTTCTTTGCAACCTTTCCTTTCAAATTAGTATTCTTTTTAGCTTTCGGAGAATTTTTTTGCAGCCTCATACTGAAAGGTTTTTCTTGTTTTTTTGCAACCTTTTTATTTACTTTTGGGGCAGATAATTTTTTAGACATCTTTATTTTCCGGTTTTCTTCATCATTTTCATCATCTGCAGAATGAAAAAACAATTATAGTTGTAAATTCCTATATTACATGAGTTAATTACTTTGTTACTCTAAATGGCTAAATGGCTAGATTAGAGATGCATATATATATATATATATATATAATATATATATATATTATATATATATATATATATATATATATATATATACAATTACACATTTCTGCCGAAGATGAAAGTGATAAGATGTAACATAATATGAATATAATATATATATATATATATATATATATATATATATATATAAAATTTATATTTCCTGGATTTTCTAATGAATTGATACTGATTTCTTTTCAGAACAATGAATCCAATGAATAAAAAACTATATATATATATTATATATATATATATATATATATTCAATTATGTACTTACTCTCTTTCATTTCAGTTGGTTTTGCCTTACTTATGTCAGCTTTCTGTGCTTGTTTCTTGTTATCTTTTGGCTCTTCTAAATCGAAACTAAAACACAAAATCATAAAATAAAGAAATAAAAACATAAGAAGATAAATATTTAATAAGTCTTCATTACTTACTCTTCAAACTCCACATCACTGATTCCGTCAACTTCTTCTTTGAGAACTTTCATTGTTCCATCAGCATCAAAACTAACTGTGGCTCCTGGTATAGTTGAAAGTTCACCCTTAACATCTTTGTAGATATTTCTTTTATGATGAACAATAACAGGAACTTTAACTTCATTAGGACTTTTTAAAGAAATATGAATGGGTATAGACAATGTTGTTGGTGATTTTACATAAATTGATTCAATGTTTTCCCAACCACCTGGGTAGTTAGACTTCAACCAATTTGATGCAGCAATAATATTATCTGTAACTTCTTGTGATGTCATTTTACTATGACCGACCTAGAAAACAGTACTATTTGAGTATAAATACAAAATAGGTATAGTAAATTATATTATAGAAACTTAATGATCACATATGCACAGTAAGAAATCAAACTCGAAATTGATAATTTAAAGTTAATAAACATAAGATTTATTCTCAATGCAATTCATAAAAAAAATCTTAATATTAGGTATATCTTGAATAAGAAGTTTTAGAAAATATTGTAATAAAAGTAATAAAATCTTGCATAAATATATTACCTTTGTAATAGTAGTATTTCCTCGTGGAGTAAGCATGATAGATGTTTTATTTAAAGCCTTTGTAAATTCATGTTTCAAATCTTTCTGATTCATTCTTACTGAAGTTGGCAGTTTTCTGGCTTTAACAAAAGTCTTTCCTAATATATGAAAAACGTGCCCACTGATTTTAGCATCAACTAGGAACACATCATAAAGATTCAGTAATCGTTTCTTAGCTTCAAATTGACTATATTCCAATTTTAGCTGTGTAAAAGGCAAAACCTTCACATTTTTTATTCCAGCTTCAGCTAGCAAGTCTTGATAATGAATCTCAGTAGGTTCTGGATCTATTTTACGTCCTCGTTTCAAATCAAGAACAATTAGGCATATTTCAGTATTATCATTTACTAAGGAATGTGGAAGAGTGTACCTTACTGTTCTCAGAGGACATTTAGGAATTTTGATACAACTGATTTGCAATAACATAGGTACCTCATCATCTAGTAATGTTGTATTTTCAGATTTAGTGATTAATTCAAATGTAGCTTCTACAGCTTTTTTGACTTTGTTAGAACACAATTCATTTGGTGTTAAATCTCCAATTTCGGTTGGTATTGAGTCTTCAGTTTCGGTTGGACTTAAGTCTCTTGTTTTAGCCTTCAAAATTTTCTCAACTTTTGGTGGTTTACTATTTCCATCCTTTTTAATTTTCTTAACTACAGCATTGTTAGTTTTTGTCAATAAAATAGATCCCACCGTCTTTGGTTTGTTTTTGATAGTTTTTTTCGCAAACGTGTTTTCTTTCGTCTTTTTAGTTGGTTTAACTTTTGATAACAATTTTGATTTTGTCATTTTGTTAATGTAAATTGTTAACAATTTAATTAAAAATTTCACTGTTACTTCAAATAAAATCTGATAGCTAGTAATACTTTTTTACATTTGTAATAATACTTCACATGCACGTGGTATTATAACGAAGGTTTATCTTGAAGATATTTTATTAGGTTATAATAACCTTCGTTGTTATTGTGGTATACCTCATTTCATTCCGCCAGGTTAGCCACAATATAAAACTATTTAGCGGCTATTTCAAATTTTATCTTATCAATGGAACAGATAAGAAGAGCAAATAAATTTTAATTACGTTGAATTATTAGGTACTTGTTATCAATGATTCCATCACACTGAGTCACTAGTTTCTGAAATTACTACGACACACCTGTAAATATTTTTATACATAATAATATTTTTGAATACATAAAAGTAAATAACAAAGCAAAAATGAAGACAAAAAATATTCTCTTTTGTTTAACTATTGGGTTAGGTAAGTAAATAACTGTTGCTGTTAATAACAAAATAAATTTACTAAATTTCTCATTCTCAGTTATGCTGAGCCTTTGTGCAGAAGCAGAAGCAAGACGTAAGATTCTCAGAGGCCGACAAGTTATAACAAGAACTTATAACAGTAAGTATAATTAGTATCTAGATCAAATTAAAAATGTTATTACAATTTGAAAATGAAAATTTACACTACGAAAATTATCTAGGATATATCATTATGATACACATAATGCAAATAATGCATGTATCATTATATCTGCATGTGGTGTATATACCATTATACCAAAATATTATGGAATTTACTTTCACTCTTCTTATAGTTTCAATTATATAAAATATATATTTAACGAATCTAAAATTATAGAAGGATTGGCCGTTCCTGCCTGGTCGATTGTTCTAATGTGTGGAATAGGAATGATTATTCTGGGGGGATTATTATATGTTGCAATGTACAAAATGATTTTATCAGAAAGTAAAAGTGAAGACATAAATATGATACCAGTTTACACAGCAGCTGCAACAAGAGATGATGATGAATCTTGAAACGTCAATAAATAAATTATATATATATATATATATATATATATATATACATACATATATATATATAAACTTAAAAAAATATACTATTTAATTTATGTATTGTAATGACTAGATAACAATAATATATAGCTTAATAAAAAAAATATACAAATTGTCTTTCTATTGTGAAATTAGATTAATCTTCCTGTAATTTAGTCTTAATAACTTTCACTTTATTAATGAGTATTTTATCTTCAACATCTTCTGATAATTTGTCATTATTTGCTTGTGATGTAGCAGAATTATCTAAAGTCGGTGATTGATTCTTCTTAAAACCAAAATATGGCATGCATTGGTGCATTGTAACTAGAATCAATGCACTTATTAATAAATAATTCAAAGTGTAGAGAGCAGTATTAGAAAATATCAAGCAAGCAACAGAGAAAGCGTACAGTAAATATCCTATTTCCCTTGAAAATAATCTGTAAAAAAATGTTGAATTTTATATAACAAACTACATAATATAAAAGAAATTTATGTTGTACTATACTCACAAATCAGTCTTTGGTGCATTGATTTGCCAAATAATAGATATACAAATAGTTAAACTTATTGAAATCCAAAAAGCTGGATCTATTTCCAAATAGGGATTATACCTGTAAATAACATAATTTTTTAATTATTTATATATCTTTAAGTAATTTATTCACTTTTTTCAAGACTTACTTAAAATTATGTGACCATGTCAGCAGAGTTGGAAAATTAAGCAATGTTACAAAAGATAATATCAAAAAAATAGTTAAATGAAAATGTATTTCACTTAAGGTGATATCACTCTCAGGTAGAATAACATCTACGGCTTTGTTTAATAATTTGTCAATTATATATTTCTTAAACAAAGAATTTTCTTGGGGTTTATTTTTTAAATCAGATGCTTCATTATGTGACTCCAATACAGAATTTTGAGCTTTTTCATGACTACTCGTTTTTTCGTTGCTATTGCTATCATCAAAGCAATGCACTTCATTACTAGATGTTCCTTTATCAAATGATGTTTCTAATGTATCCTTAGTTTGGCCTTCAGTAATGTCAATGCCCTTATTTTCTGTTTGCAAAACTCGTTTTTCAGAATCACGTTTTTCATTTTTATCGTTCAATGGCTTATTATGTACATTATCATTTGTTGTCATTTCATGATCACTAACATTTTGAGTAGTTTTTTTTATATCATCAGTTGTTTTATTATGAGATCCACCAATTAATTTTCTTGCAACTTTTCGAATTGTTTTAAATACAATAGTGTCAACATAGTCTTCATACATTTTACTTAGCTACAATTACATTTGAATTTTGTAAAAATATTGATAAACAATGTATAACAAATTACAAGAATTACCAATATAGAATAAAATACAACTGCAATCATTAAAGAAACACAACCGCAGGTGGCTGATCCCATGGCTACAGCTAAGACCCCAACTGCTAGTGGTAGTCTTTCGAATGCTTTTGCAGCAAAACCAGATGCTCCAAATGATATTATTCTGGAAATATATAATTAATTTGTTCCTAAAAATCTTCTTTCATTAAAATCATATAATTATTATAGTTATTTTTCAATATAAATTAACACAATATAATAATTAATAATTAAATAATAAATATTTAAATCAAATTTAGAAACATTATATTATATAATTAGGATTTTAAAAAATATACCTAAGCATAACTGTGTGGGCTAATTTACCAGCAACAGCAATTCCTGCATAAACAATCAGACCAATTATGCAAATAATTCCCCATGCTACTGCAAAGGACAGCAGAGGTAACAGCATTGGTGTTGAAGATTCGAAACTAAAATTATTATAAAGATACAAGATGTAAAAAAAACAAAATCCTAAAGCAATCAGTGATATTTCATTATCAATAACTTTCAATAAATAAGGATATATAGAAGATACCTAAGAAACTTTTGGGCAAGTCTTGCTAATGTGACAACGTAATAAGGTTTTGCCCCAGATGTCATAGCAGACAATAAATTTGAACATTTTCCTTCATCTTGCATTTGAAGAATTTGTTGACGTAAGGCAAGAATTAGGACAGACGCACAATATGGTAGCAAACCCAGCGAATAATGGCGTGATATTTGACCAAGAGTATCAACAAAAGAACTCTCTAAACTAAAAAATTAAAAAAAAAAATCAAATCATCATAAAGAAATGAAGAGTTTATGAAATTATTAAATTTACCTGATAGAATATTTACAGTTAGGGTCCAGAACAAACCTTACCGTCACATTTTTAGATGACTTACCATCCTGCTGACTTTGATGCAATTTCAAAGACATAGGAGGTCTTTGTGCTTCACTATAAAAAAATCCAATTTCTCAATTTTTAATTTTAAATACACTGCTAAAAATAGAAGTTCTTACGTGAAATAGTGAACATTGGAATGTCCAGATGCCCAAGGTACATAAGAAGTAGCAACTGTGTGATAAGATTTTTCAGAGCATTGTTTAGGATCTATAGAAAGATGCAAAGCTTGGTATAATCTATCGAAACCTTGTATTACAAGATCATAATGTATGGCATTCAATACAGTTTCTTTCACAACCTCCACTTTAGAGAAGGAATAGATTTTTGGTGCATTGGTCTTCATTATGCGCTGGTTTCTGTTGTAGATGTCAAAATGCAATTGCACCTAAAGGTGAGTAATCAAAATATTACAGATAAATATCATTATTAAATAAAATTCACTTTAATGCAGTATCAATGATATTAATGACAAAATTTATCAAATTGATTAAAGATAAGTAAATTGAAGAGGTAGTGTTAATACTATAACTAAAAATCCTAATTGTACATACTGATTCTCGTGTTGGTGATATTTGAAATAAGACATGTGTCCAATGAGGATTTTGACGTTTTATCTTATGCAAATCAAGATAAGCAATTCGTCGCTCCTTGTTAATTGATGGATGCGGTCTAGTGTAATTCGATAGGGAAAAACCGTGATCACTAAAAAATGAATGCACACATAATATCTACAATTTATTATATGTATATATGTGTATATGTATATATATATATATTTATATATATATATATATATATATATATCTATATATATATATATATATATATATATATAAATTTATCTATGTACCAAATTCTAGATTGTAATTTAATATCAATTTGATCAGCTGCACAACCAAAAATCCAGTCTTCATCATCAAGATTTATAGATTCAACGGCTATCATTTCATGTAATTGATCATCAGTCAATCTTATCATTTGATATCTTGTTCGATTTAATCCATTCAAAAATCGCACGGAAAATAATCTTCTATTATCTTCATACCATTTGCTATTTTTTCTAAAATGCACAATTTTTGAATGTGGGAGTGCAGTATTTATCTAAAACAATAAAGTAATGCAAAAATTAATGATTATAATATACATTTACATAATATGACTAATAAAAATCAATTAGTTAAAAAAACAGGAAACATATTCTACAAAATATTTATCAAATAGTTATTCATAATTAACATGAATTTGCTAAGATATGCAAATTGTTGCCGATTATTATTAAAGAGATTCAAATAGATATCTATATTTTATAATTATTTAATTAGATTATGTTCTTACTGTTAACAATCTCAAAGCCGTGTTGTATCTTTCTTCCAGATTTGTAGAAATTTGTTTAGATTTACTATCTACTGATTGGAAAAGTACCCTGTAAAATTAAAAAAAAAAATAATATTAATCTCTAAATGTGATAAAATTATTGTATAATATGATAACATTAATAGCAATAATATCACAATGTATTCATAGTATTAGTATTAGTATATAAAATAGTAGAATACCTATTCAAAACCAATACTAGTTGTAAACACCATACAATGCATTGATGATCAGTTGATGCCCAAACCATGGGTATGGCAGTTGTCTGAAATTTTAATAAAACTAGCTGTAAGTGAAATTCTGTCTTAAGGCAATTAAGGCATCGTGCCTTAAGGCAAATTGCTGGAACTTCCTGTGCCAAAAATTATTATTTTTTTAAAAACGATTAACATTTTTGAAAAAATTTTACTTCGAAAAAATAAGATTTTTTGGAAATTTTAAATCGGACGAAAAATTACTTTTTTTTGAAAAAAAATTTTTTTTTAAAAAAAATTTTTAAACAATTTTTTTTATAAAAATTTTTTTTGGAAAAAATGTTATCTTCATTTTGACATATTTTGGAAGATCTGAACTTTTTTTCAAAGCAATCGTACTTCTTTAACTGCATAGAGACAAAATATAAAGCGCGTAAGCGCCGCGTATATAAATATAAATATAAATATAAATATAAATATAAATACAAATACAAATACAAATATAAATATAAATATAAATATAAATATAAATATAAATATAAATATAAATATAAATATAAATATAAATCGTACTTCTTTAACTGCATAGAGACAAAATATAAAGCGCGTAAGCGCCGCGTCGCTGTCTAACGGAAAAACATTAGTACGGAACCCATAGGAATGTAAACAAAACTTATACTTATTGTTAAAATCTCAATAAAATATCTGATAATTTGATATGCATATGTCTAATGTCTAATGATTATTGTTGACCGCCATATGTTATTTTTTTTTAGTTTTTTTTACTAGATCTCCGAAACCGCTAGACCTATCTTCATGAAAATTTGATCAAATCTTCATCTTGTTAATACAAGTAAAATGTTTTTTGAACTATACAAATCGGACGCTCCGTTCTCTTAAAAACTGAGTTACCGTTTTTGGCCCTTTTTGCCCCATATCTTCGGAACGGCTAGACCTGCCTTTGACAAAAACTAATCAGCACGTCTCCTTATCAATACGAATCGAATGTTTTTTGAATTATTCAAATTGCTTCATCCGTGTTCCCGAAATCGTCGACGAAAATTTGTATCCGAACACACACACATGCACGCACACACACACACACATACATCAATTTTCTCCAAGGTATGCCAACATATTCAGAAACCTCTGAAACGTGAAGATATATAAAAATTTTCATTTTCGATTTTTTTGCGATTACTTACCCTATGGAAAGTTAATTATAAATAAATCAATTTATCATCTCCAGAACATTAACAATCGTCATTTCATTTCGAATCAAATTCAAAAAAAAAAATAGTTGCCAAATTTACACAAAATTGAAAAAGTGCTCCTGCATAGTCACAGTCTAAACGCATTTGCAAATAATTCTGTGCGACATTTTCACTTATACTGTGCTCAGATTGGCGGCATTTTCACATTTTTCAATAATTTTCACAAAATTGGAAAAGTGCTCCAGTACACAAACAGTCTAAACGCACTTGCGTAAACATTTGTACCAGAGTGGCGCTTAGACTGTGCTTAGCCTGGGTGATTTTTTGAATTTTTAGTCCAAAATTACAAAAAAAAATTTTTGAAACAAAAATTTGAAACAAAAATTTTTTTTTCCAAAATCAATTATTTTGTTGAAATAAGCAGAAAGTTCTTTGAATCATTTTAATCGGACGCTTAGTTCTCTCAAAAACTGCCATTTTTTTTAAATTTAGCTCTGTATCTCCGAAACCTCTGGGCCTACCTTTGCCAAAAACTAATCAGCACATCTCCCTATTAATAGGAATCGAATGTTTTTTAAACCATTCAAATCGGTTGTTCCGTTCTCTCAAAAACTCGCTTTCAATTTTTTGCACTCTTTGCTCCATATCTCCGTAACGGCTGGACCTGCCTTTGCCAAAAACTAATCAGCACATCTCCCTATCAATAGGAATCGAATGTTTTTTAAACCATTCAAATCGGTTGATCCGTGCGCCCGAAAACGTGGACGAAAAAAAGCGGACATACAAAACACACACACACACACACACACACACACACACACACATCCATTTTTTCTGAAGTATGCCAAAATGTTCAAAAACCTTCAAAACGTCGAGAAATGTAAAAATTTTTGATTTCGATTTTTGGACGATTACTATAACTTACCCTACGGGAAGTTAATAATATATAATAATAAATTAAATAATATGAAGGATAAAGAATACTCACCAATGTATTAATATGTCCAAATTTAGACGAAGTCAAACCAGAAGGAACTAAAATATCTCTACTGCCACCACCAATTGAAATAAATAAAATATCAGAAAATTTTGAATTTTCCTTATTGATGTCTTTGAATCCTGCTTTATTCGATTTATTAGTCATGTTCATGATTTGAAAATTTTCAGTCCAATATTTGAATGTTTCAGTATAGAATGTAGGAATTAATTGATCTAATGCTGCAACAGGTTTCTTATTCGGAGTTGCCAATGTAATAATTGTATTAACCCTTTGGGAATTTTCATCTATTGTGACCACGTGTTGAGCAATCAATCCTCCCTTAAAATGAAATATATATAACTTATACAAATGTATATATACAATATATTTCAAGAAAATAAACTTACTATTGAATGTCCTATTAAAACAATACTTTTAGGATGCGCAGTATTTTTGTCATATAGATTTAAAATTGTGTGAATAGAATGATTTACAAATAGTGATTGTGCCTCTAAAACTCCACCAAATAATCCAGAATATTCCTCATTTAAATCAACTGTAAACAATAGTAATGAATAAACATCATCATCATCATATATCGAGAAATATAAAATAAAATTAATAATATAAAATAATTTTCTTGATAGTAAAGTAATAAATATAATTATCAAATTAATAACATTAAATGCATAATTATTTAACATATTTTATATATACATATAACATTTAATTGAACTAACCACAAAAATAATCAAAATGAAATCTGGATTTGGAGTTTAAATACTTTCTCAAGCTTACAGAAGCAAGCGAGCGAACTTGCTTGTAGGATCCTGCATTTCCTGGTATAAATAAAACTGGTATTCCATCAAAATGCATATTTCGTGCTTTTCCTGTAAGTCTGCCCTCAGAATACGCATATAAATTATATTTTTCATATTTTTGAGCATTAGATACGTTTATTTTCTGAAAATACATAAACACATAAGAAAATAACCTCAAAATTTTACATATATCAAGATTTATGCATACAATAAATTGTGGAAATTCATACATATATGTCATTTTGCAAGCATTTTCTTCATGACTTAGTAAAAAATTTTTAAGACCAAACAAATAAAGAGATAAACAAATTAAAGATATAACTAGAAATATATTAAGTGTCATTCTGATTACTATATTGTCTAGGGCTAATCACACACTGACACTTGATTTGTCTATCATGTTAACCATTCTAATCCTAGTCTAGGATGTTAACCTTTATCAATGCTTTAATTAATTATTCAATGTAATTTATTTATGCAACTAAATGAAAATATTTATTGTAGATAATATTCCTAAAATTTAAAAAAACTTTTATTTAATTTTTGAAAAGACTTAAAATTTATTTTTTGATTGAAAGTCAATCTTGTGTTTGTTATTTGAAGAAAAACATAATTTAATCTATATTAAATTTTATTCTAGATTGTAATTTAATCAACAGTTGAGTTAATATGTGCTTGTAATAGAGCCTTCATTTGCTTAGGCAATCTTATTCTATTCCTTGATCGCTTTTTTATCCCCTGTGCATTTTCATTTTTCTTTTGTTTCTTTTTACATGATAAAGGATTAGGTCCTTTCTTTTTCCTTCTCTTCCTTTTCTGTTCATTGTTGTTTTCTGATAAACCAACATCTTCTTTTAATTTCTTAATTACAAGCTCTTCCCTTGTTTGGACTTTGAAGCTTCCAGTAGCATTCTCAGTAGCTTTATCACGGCTAGTTTGTGAAGGTCGCTCTAAACATGGTGCTTTACGATGCAGATACAATAGAGGCACACCAGGTTTTTCCCGAATTTTTCTTGTAGATCACGATCTTGGGTAGCTATGACATATCTTAAATTATTTTGAAATGTGAATAATGGAACTGCTAAAATTAAAATAGCAATATAATCTATTACATACCTGTCTCTATTACTTTTGCCTACCATCGATAGTAAGCAATCACTAGCACCAATTGGAGCCTTTTCATGTCCGCATTTGTGAATACCAAATTGCTTTACAATTTTCATGGCACCAACCAATTTGGGTCCTAAATTTTCTGTCTCCACAATTACACATTGCGTAGTTAAAAGTTTAAGCTCAGCTTGAAAATATTTCTTTAACTGATCTTGAATATTGAATTGATTCTAAAAATTAACATTAATAAGAACACGAATTCAATTAATGCTATTTTGTACCTACCTTTAACGCATCGAAACAGAAAGTTCCGTCAATAAGTATTTGAAATGGCTGATGAAAACCAAAATTGTTAATATAAAAGTTCAAATTTCGATGTACTTTCTTATATCTAGTAATTTTCATTATTACAGAATTAACTTATCGAACAGATGATCAAGTCAAGAAATAACAAATAGCACGTGCGCAGAAATTTTGCTAAATACATTGGTTTGACATATGTTTGACAGCTTTGAAATGAAAATTAAATTATGTCTAAGTTGGTAGCATCTGCATTTTAACGGATTTGAACAATATTTGAGAGATGACAACGCTGATAGAACATGGCAGCATGACAGCGCTGTCAAAATTTATAAACAGATTGCCACTGTAAAATAATAAAATAAAATGTTGATTGTAAAATTAAATTAGTTTAATAAAATGTAAATAGAGAACAATTTTAGTTAAAAATGGCCAACAATTGTGGTTTCAGTAGAGAAGCTGTTCGTGTGAAAGTTAAAGTAAATTGAAAAAAAAAACTTTCACTTGCACAATTAATTAAACATTCAACTCAATATGTTACTGATTTCTTTTAGAAATGTGAAGGTCAATTAACACCAGAGTGGAGAAAATTTAGTGTAGACCCTCAAATAACATCTTTAGAAGTCCTAGTTAGTATCTTAGCTAAAGCATTTGATTTAAGGGGTGACTTTAATGTAAGCTACAAGACGACCGATTCTAATGGACAGGATGCTTATGTGGTAGTTTTATCAGATTGGGATTTGGATGCAGCATTCTTGAGGTAGACTTTATTTATATGAAAATGATTATTTATGAATTACAAATCTAATTCCTGAAATAGTCAATGGATATTGAAACTCATATTTTTTTTAGAGCTCACAATACTTCCATTACAAATAAAGTAGAGCCTTGTTTATATTTGCGTGTGGATATAAAACCTTTTTCTGAATCATGTGAAGACCCAGAATGGGATTCAGTTGAATTGGAAGCTGCTCATGCAGCAGTTGAAAGAACAGAATCAGTGTTTACATCAAGTACTGCTGTAAATACTTCTCAAATAACTAATGTTGTTGGTTCTAACATAAATGTCACTGAGAAAAAAGAATTTATTACTGGGCTTAGGCAGCATAAATTTCCTGGAATATTTAAAAATCAAGTAAGTCTTTCGTTTTAATTTTTTTAAAACCTTATTTTCATATGCGGAATAATATTATATCTTCGCAGATGGAGAAGACACTATCAATGGTCCAGAAGGCTTTGAATCTAGTAGAAACAGTTGATAGTTGGAATTGGCACTCAAATGATACACCTCCTTTAGGTGAAATAACAATGTTCATTATATATTCTAATATCATTAGAATGAATGTAAAAATTAAAGTAACTTTTATTTCAAAGGGGATTCTGAATTTCGTGGTTTACTCGATGCTGTTGGTCGGTTGTCCACACCACAGCGTTTAAGGAGAAGAGTTTACTCTGGAGGAATTGAACCAAATTTAAGACGTGTAGTATGGAAACATGTGCTAAATGTGTATCCTGAAGGTAAGTTGTATAATTATATATATTTCTATAATAACAAAGTGACAAATGATTTTTTACATGGATCATACAACTTTGTTCTATTAAACTCTGGTGTTAATTGACCTTCACATTTCTAAAAGATATTAGTTAAAACATCTATTTCTTTTTTTTTTCAATAATAATTTTCTAATATGAAAAATAATTCAAAATTGCCAGTAAGTATCTTATGTTAGATAGTAAAATGCATCATGTGATTAATCATTTATAGGTATGTCAGGCCGTGAGCGAATATCTTATATAAAACGAAAATCTATAGAATATATTAAACTGCGTGATGCATGGCGGGATGTTATTCAGAATGGGCCAATAACACCACAACTTTCTTATGTAACCAGTATGGTTCGAAAAGATGTTTTAAGAACTGACAGACACCATCCATTTTATGGAGGAAGTGATGATAACAAAAATATTGCTGCTCTTTTTAATATCCTGACAACATATGCTTTAAATCACAAAGTTAGCTATTGCCAAGGAATGTCAGATTTGGCATCTCCCTTATTGGTGACAATGAATGATGAGTCTCATGCTTATATTTGTTTCTGTGCTCTTATGAAGAGACTAAGTGGAAATTTCATGCTTGACGGGATTGCCATGACGCAAAAATTTGCACATCTCAGCGAAGCTATATTATATTATGATCCTGAGTTTTATGCCTATCTTAAGCAACAGCAGGTAAGGTTAAGATCAACCTATATTTGTCTTTCTCATTTCACCACATAAGAGCAAAAAGTAGTTTAATTATCAAAATTTATTAACATTTGGAATAGTGGGTTGTATCAAAGTTTCAAAATTCTATCATCACTATTTCAATATGTAGTAAATCTCAATTATTATTAGGTTAATTGTTTACACTTACCAGGAAGTTTATGCAACTTTGATTAAGACCAATTGCCGCTTACACCTAATTACTTTATTCATCTTGTGAAACATATTTTAGTGATGTGCCAAGTCGAATCATTCGAAGCCTTTAACGACTTGATTCGAATCAGATTTTACTTGATTCGAATCAACTCGTATCAAGCCGCGAAATATTTACTGTGATAAAACATGTGTGAACACAAATTTTTATAAATAAAAAAAAATGTTTTAATTTAATTCAATATTATAATAATATAAATAATAATAATAATAAATATAAAAATATAATAATAATAAATATAAAAAATAAATCTTGAATTAAATCATGCGAGTCACCCGGCTTTAATACGCTTAAATGTATTACCTGACTGCACCCGACTCCAATTTATATGACTTTAACCGCATTCATTGTCTAACAATACCATCCGAGTTCCAATGCTCAAACCGACTTATTTCGACTTCAAGTCGAAATGAATTCATCCGAGTTCCGATGACTCAAACCGAATTATTTCGACTTCAAGTCGATATGAATTCATCCGAGTTCATATGACTCAAACTGAATCATTCCGACTTGAGTTCGAAACATATGTCCGTGTTTTAGCGTATAAATAATAATAATATCCGAGATGCAGTGCGTATGGGTCTTGAGTGTTTATTTTTGACTAAGCGCTGAGAGCAAATATGTTCATGAAATATCAAAAATTCATTTAGATAATAAATACGCGATTTAAATTTTAATTATTATCAAAATAAACTACACAACGAGTTTTATACACATACAAAATTATCATATTTTAATTATGCAAGTAATGGCAAATTCACACAAATGAAATAATATCAATCTTTACAGTAATGGATTGAATTTTAAGTCATTCGTAAGACGTTAGATTCAGCCCCCTGTTTAGATTAGATCTAAACAATCAATAATATATACATGCATTCTTTTTAACTTCCCGTAGGGCAAGTTATAGTAATCGCAAAAAAATCAAAAATGAAAATTTTTATATATCTTTACGTTTCAGAGGTTTCTGAACATTTTGGCATACCATACATTATGATTTGAATAATTCAAAAAACATTTCACTTGTATTGACAAGATGAAGAATCGATAAAATTTTCATGAAGGTAGGTCTAGCGGTTTCGGAGATATGGAGGAAAAAGTAAAATAATGAGCCATTTGGCGGTCAAAAATGATCATTAGACATATGCACATCAAATTATCAAATATTTTATAGAGATTTTAACAATAAGTATACATTTTGTTAACATTCCTATGGGTTCCGTACCAATGCTTATGCATTAGGCAGCGACGCGGCGCTTACGCGCTTTATATTTTGTCCCTATGCAGTTAAAGCAGTACGATTGCTTTGCAAAAAAAGTTCAGATCTTCCACAATATGTCAAAATAAAAAAAAATTTTTTTTTTTTCAAAGAAAAGTAATTTTTTGTCTAATTTATAGTTTCTCAAAAATCTTATTTTTTCAAAGTAATTTTTTTTTTCAAAAATGTTAATCGTTTTTACAAAAATAATAATTTTTGGTACGGGAAGTTCCAGCAATTTGCCTTAAGGCACGATGCCTTAATTGCCTTAAGACAGAATTCCACTTACAGCTAGTTTCAACGTAAGATTAAGAATATTGTTTTATATGCTTTAGTGATAGAGAAGTGTTTGGTTATATTTTACTGTAAATTCAATTGAAATATTAGTTATATTTGTAGCTAGTTTATTATTATATATATAATATAAATGTACTCATCTCTGCACTTTTTGGAATTAATTGCTTACTAAATTAATTATTTCACTTATAAAATTATTAAAATGATATTATTTCTTCTCTTAAATTATAATTGTTCATATATGAACTTGATTCGAATTGATTCGAATCAGGTTTTTTTCTGATTCGAATCACTCGAATCAGGAAATTTTCGAGTCGGCACATCACTAACATATTTCTTTAAAAAATGAAAATTATTAGAAATACAAAGGTCAGTTTAAAAATTTTGCTTTATAGGCTGATGACTTGTTGTTCTGCTATCGCTGGTTGTTGTTGGAAATGAAAAGAGAATTTTGCTTTGAAGATTCCTTACGCATGTTAGAAGTTCTTTGGAGTTCTATTCCCTTAGTAACAGTGCCTGAACAGGAACTTGAATTATTCGAGTTCGAATTCAAACCTATATTTACCGTTCCTGATACACCGATAGTGCCCTGTGAAAACGCTTACACTAAAGTTTGTGCGCTTCGCAGACAAAGTTCTGCCATGAATCTGGGACAGAATGTAAATAACATTAAATTTCAAACTTCAAAAAGATTAAATCTGAGCCTGGACGAAACTAGAGGTAGATGTAAATTCAAAAATGCACTTCAAGACATCAAAACTATTAGTTTGGATGATACTGTTTTACAAATGAAGAAAGCAAATGTAGATCGTGATGAAGAAAAATCTGAAGATAAAAATAGCATTAAATCAACTTCTCCTGTGGAACGACCGAGGTCAGTATCGCCTAGAAAAACTGATGATGAATTAAATGAAATTAGTGAACGTCCTATAGAAGTAATAAGCAATAGTATGATTGATTTGGCCAAAAAAAGTAACTGTATTAGAAAACCCGGAGGGCATTTTAAAGAACTTAAAGAAAAGATCGCCTCGGCAGGAAATTCTCGAAAAAACATTTTTAGTATATCTCTTGATAAAATAGAAGTACGCAATGATAAAAAAATAGAATATGGAAATAAGCATTTAAATCACAATGGAGGAGGAAAAGTTGTTAAAAACTTAAATGAGTTTTTAAACTTTAACAAAAGCCGTTTATCAGAAAAATTCATATCTAAAAAGACAGATCAAGATGTGACAACTATTTCTGAACAACCTATAACTGACAATAAATGTAAAATCCAGAAACAGTTGCACAAAGATTTGAGTGTGGAAGGTAGCAGTAGCCCTGATGATTCACAAGAATATTTTCCAATGACGACGTCGATGACACGCGAGTTAAGGTTGGAATTGGAGAACCTTGATAGGCAAGTTTTTGGTAGGGACTTTCATAACAAGTCTTTTCAATTTGACAATACTGATTCTCCAACTGAAACTACATCAATTATTACGGAACAAAATAAAAATTTTCAATGCGATTCGTCCAATCATAGTTCGATTACTGAAATTAGCGAGCCAACAGAATTAGCTGAGATTTGCAGTGTACCTCAAGTTCATGTTAATGGCCATAAAAATGGTTTTTCTAAAGAAAATTCACCTAATGATATCTTTTTATGGGAAAATCCTCTGCACAAACAGCAAGAGATGTGCAAATCTAAATTTCCAACAACACCAGATGAGCAAGCCGACTTAGAATATGATGGGGAATCAGGGGAAATCTTTGAAGAATCTCAGGGGAAAAAATCTATAACTCCAATAAGACTTTTAAGACGTACGCACAATTCTAACCGTACCTCTGATTCCTCAGAGAGTGATAACGACTGGAAATTGTGCGATTCGAAAATCGACTATAAAGCGATGTCTGAGGATAAACAGAACGATGAAGACATTGATAATAAGTTTATTGAAAATAACGAATTTTCGAAAAAGATTGAGAAAACTGTGCAGCTGAATAATATAGACAATTCGCAACATATCTCAAAACCTGCTGAAAATGAAATAATACATGAAAACAATTTAAACGAACCAAATGTTTTAATAGACAATGTAAAACCTTTGATGTTGCCACCACCTAATGAATTTGGAGGGGGTAATCCATTTTTAATGTTCCTATGTCTTACAGTTTTGTTACAACATAGAGATTATGTTATGAGAAATAATATGGATTATAATGAAATGGCTATGCATTTTGATAAAATGGTTCGTAAGCATAATATTAATCGCGTTTTGAATCAAGCTCGAAAAATGTACACTGCTTATTTGAAACAACAAGACGGTAATGACAATTCTGTTACAAAATAAATTCAATACTTAGATAGATTTTATTCTCATGAAATATTTAATCTTTTTCTTTTAACTCAAATTTACAAGATTTTTAGGAATTTAATTATTCAACTGCAGAAAGTATTTTATTGCTCTTCCTTATTTATAATCTCAATCTTAGTAATAAAGTATGGATTGAGAAATAATAATAGTCTATAAAAGAATCTAATTTTATATACAACTTTATGAAACTCATAGATATATCGTAAGCGAAAATTATATCACAAAATCGATTCAACAGATATATGCAGTTGAAATATTCATAAATATTTTTTTAGTGAATTTTATTAGCATGTAAAAAATCTTTCTTTAAAGCAAGGAACTACATTATAATATATTTTTTAAAGGTGCAGGTCTCCAGAAATAATTTAATAATCAATATATTCATAATTAATCATTTTAAAATTATTCATCCGACGATTGGAATATCGCATAGTAAATTTAAATAGTAAACATATATTTTTTTCAAGTAACTTTTGAATCTGCATCTAACTTGCCAGTTGGCTGTGATTCGTAGACGAATGCACTGCGGAAGCTATGAATAAAAGCACTTCACATTTTATTTTTATGTTTGTGAAATGGTACATTAAAGAGCTATTTTGATGGCGCTATTTTATCTCTAGTCTTTTTATATATATTAAAATAATTGATGTTTGTGATATTTTAGGTATGTAGAATTAAGAAACATTCCAAAGTTTTACTATAAAAATAGTTGTGGATTGAGTTAATTTGTCAATCAGCAATTTCGTCTGCTGACGTTTGACCTAAGTGCATTTTTTAATGTTATATTACGGATTTTCGAATGCTATAAAAGTACTTAATTATAAATATAATTTTAAGCTAGTCATTAGATAAGCAATAAGTTCCCAATCTGATTGTTATACTATATGTGACTTATTTATAAATCGTTGATTTAAATACGTATTTATTAATGTAAATATTATATGATATGTAATATTTATGAATAATACTCATGATTATATTATATACATTGTTTTTGTACTGGTCGCAAATCATTAACCTTTTATAGTTGCCAATAGCAAAAAAGACTTAAATGAAAAGTTTTGGATATTTTTTAGTTTCAAAGCCTTCTAAACATTTCAGCATAATTTTAAAAAAAAGCGACGATTTTGATAGCTTGAATTAATTGATATATATGATTCAAGAAACTTTTTGCTTGTATTGCCGAAAAAATTATTACTGGTTTACATTCATGTGCAAAAAAATCCGTAATTAATTTTGTTAAAATTATTAATATTTAAATAACATTAAAATTAAAGAAAATCATATATAAAAAAAACGTAACATAGTAGTGGTTTTAAATGTAATATAGTAGTGGTTTTAACTTGATATTTTCTGTCGATTGAGATCATCTGACATCTAAAAGTTAATGAAAATCTTTTCAGTGATCCTAACTAGTGAAATCATTTCTATACAGCAATGAAATCTAAAAATCACGGTTAAGGATCAAAAAATTAAATAAAAAATATGACGTTGAAATATCTCTGGACGCTCTCAAAAGAAAAGAATAAAAATCGAGATGGGTGAACAATGATCGCACGCAACCAGACTGCTTAAAATGCACAGACCAAAAAAATGTTATCGAACCAGTTATTATGCGTTTAGCTTTACCATCATTGGACGTTTGCGTTCGTATTCAACGTAAATAATGAATAACAAGAAAATATATAATTCATTACATAAATAATATATTATGTAAGAACGAAATGAAATAACATAAAATGTAGATAAATAACTCACAAATTATTTAGGCGTAAAACACAAAAACATATTCAATAATAATACATCAACTACCGTTTTGTTACCTCACCTTTATACCCTTTTTGTCTATTATTTTATGATAATTTATTATTAAATTATATTATTTCTTATATATTTTTTTATTACTTGATCCAATGAAGCAGAGCCAAATTGAGACTCGAAACGTATCGAAATTGTTTACAAATAATTATAATAAACGTCATTTAGTTTTTTTGTAATTTTATTATCCAGATGGATGCAAGGTTTTTCAAGTGTGTATCCAATTACAATCAATGTTAAGTGCCATGATTTAAAAATTTTATTATCTATGTAAGTTTCGAATCTTTAGTGCAATAAATAGAAATATTGAGTGCAATAAAAAAACATTATTGAATACAACAAATACATTCTTATAAAAGCATAGTAAAATGGAAAAAAAAAACTAAAATAGACCAAAATAATATTTATGTTTATATATGATATGTTAAACATATCACCATTAATTATCAAGCAATTAATATTGCTTTCCCTTCATTTCAACTTATTATTTAGATTTTTTTAATTATTTGAAATCCAACTTGCTGATTTTATGTTTATTCGACGTTTTAAGTTATTCGCAATCGTTTGAGACCGACCAGACAGAAGTATGTAGTGTGTAAACGTAATTCGTTCGTCTACGTTTTAGCCAAAAATTCTGAATCTGTTCAGAAGATGGGCTTTTTCTTTGCCTTCCAAGATTTTATATACAATGTTTTGCAGCCTGCAACCAAATTAATTAATTTTATGATTTTTTGAAATCCAAGTTAACTCGTGATTCAGCTGAATTTTTATAAAATCTGTTTTCTCTAAATTCTAGGAAAATGCTATAAGGCTTCATGTAAGAGTATTTACATAAAATGCTGTACGAGTTAATATTACAAGCGCCTTCGTACGTAGTTTATTCATCGTTTGGTTTGTTCCGAGGTTCTATATAATTAGAAGCATACTGTGCAATTTCAAGTAGAAAACATTGCCTATTATATATGCTACAAACCGCACATGTTGAACGGCACAGGCGCGTATACTCCGAAATTATGGTACATTGTGATGAAGAAGTTGAATTTGCATCACAAAAGTAGAGTCGTTCATGTATTATCCGATAATGATTCTGAAAAAAAATAGCGAGATATTATTCTCATCTAATATATCATGCTACTCACTTATAGTAACATAATGCCATTTCTTCAACGGTATGATGGTACAAAGGTGCCATAAAATTGAATTATTTTGATTGCTATTTACAATTTCAATAAAAAAGTCAATATCAATCGAGATCCACAAACTTTTAAAATTGTGACTATAGTTTTGAAGTTATGACACTGCCCCCGTTTCTTCTTCCAAGCCTAGTTTCGTAGGCCTATAATAGGTTAGAATGTCTGTTAAGACCTTGATCTCTATCATCAAAAATAGTTTCACCAAAATCGTAAAAAAAATTCAAAAATTAACACTTTCCTCTCGCGAATTCCGGAAATCTCAAAGCTGCGGCATCCGAGTGGAAAGGGTTAATGACGAAGAAACGAATCGGTTGATCTTTACCAAAAGCTATTCAGCACGATTCCCAACTGAACGGTTTAGATCGGTTTCAAATTTTTAAAATAAATTACTTCGAAAGCATTCATAAATAAATATTCATTAGCCAGTTCTGTGGCAATATTTTTTTTATAAAATAAATATTTTTACAGAACACCGCTTTTTAATTATTGTAAAAGCGCATGAAACAATCTGCATGCATAGAATAGTATGAAAAATAAAATCATATCCGTAAATTTTATTCGACGATATATATTTCAATAATTTTTTTTTTTAATTTGAAAATTTGCTTTATTTGTCTTAAATACATACATTGATTTTTACATAAAGATACAAATTGTATACACCTATTCTGGGAATATCATTATACTATCATAATATAATATTGTTTGCATATATATATATATATATATATAATTGTTTCAATTAGCTTATATAAGTATGAAAAGAGCTATTAAAAACATACTGCCATCAAGTATATTTCAATAAAACCAGAAAGAAATTGCATATTTCAAATTAAAATGAACTTTTCTCGGATAGATTTCATAATAAAAACTGAAAAACGGTCTTGATATAACCATTTACTTTTTATTTGAATATAAAATGCATATACAAAATAAATAACTTTTGAACATAAGAATATAAAAATATTTTATTTTTCTTTGTATCACTATAGTGATATAAATATTTATAAATAATAAATATTTTTTTAAAGTATTCTTGGAGATTAATTAATTTTGATTGTACGTATAATAAGGCATAATTGTCTTTTATATAATTATTAAATGCATACCTCACATATAGTCATATCAATATCAAATCAATATCACACATAGATAAAATGATCCAAAATAAAATTGGTGTAACATTTTTATTTTTAATTTCTGTTTTTACAATACATGTACATATACAATACATTGCAATGACACAATAATATTGATTCGAAAAATAAGCCATTATAATATATATATATATAACATTATATAAAAGCATTTCATCATTTTTTCTTTGTTTTTAATACCATTATGCACCTGCCTCTCACAGATCGAAGGAAATAGACAAGATCATCAAACATCTGTTGAGATGCGATGCACGTGTATTAAATGTGATTAGATAATCGTTATAAGAGGCTCTGTTTTTAATCATTTTTATATGAATCAACCTATATCATATTTTTGTACAAAAAAGCATATAATTTGGGGACTTCTAACAACAATTGTCGGGGCTACGCCTACGTTTATATATCTTTCCGAAACTAAGTAACTCATATATATATATATATATATATATATATATATATATATATATATATATATATATATGCTTTGTGATTATCTATACATTTCATGTATTTTACTCCTTCGGTCACTTTACTGAATCATCATATATTCTCCTATCCGCCAGCCATTGAACCATTTAGCCGATAATCTAATTTCCTACAGGACCTGATCCTTTCTGATGGGAAAGGATTTAGGGAATACTGCAATTACGACGGAAAATGCCATATAACGAACGACTGGAATCCAATTGGAATCTAATCAAGTGTCTGTTCAGATGTGACGAACAGAAGCGAATAAACCTTGAAATGGCTTTAATGCAATATAAATTTGCAACTTTGGAAGAAGAGATAGAAATTGCAGCAATGAAATTGTGGTCAGGGTAGAAATGTGTGCGGATGGTTTTGTATCCATATTTATATTGATAAAATATATACATATATAAAAATAAATACTCCGCTTGAATAGCAATTAAACATTTGACTTACCTTCATTTTTCCGCCTTTTGAGGCGGCCGAGGGGCGGCCAAATAGAAAAAAACAACAAATTCAAAGGCGGCCATAACAAAAAGTGGTCGTAATAAATAGCTGTCGCATTAAAAGTCTACTGAATTAAAAGGCGGCCAACTCATTCGCTGCCGTATTGAAAGTCCGCTGTATATATCTAAAAAAACACCGTAGTAAAAATCAGCCAAAATCGGCCGCATTTAATGCGAGATCGAATAAAAAATAGGCAACTCTAAGCTCTGTTCACAAATAATTTTTAAGTGTATAAACTTGGTGTAAGTGGCAAGTTGCGTGAACTCTCCAACATGTGTAAATAATCCACTTAAATATAAAAAATATATTAATTCAAGAGTACATTGCAATGTGAAAAACTATCGCAATTCTTGCCTGTTTATGTTCGTTCGTTAGGTGTGAATGCACCTTCATGTGCATTCATACCATAGAACAGGGCTTCAAGCTTAGGAAATTTTAAAATATATATTAACCGTAGATGCAGATGTAATATTGTACTATTTTACAATGTAAATAAAATAAGGATTAAAGAATACGTACCCATTCATTTCACATATATATAATTGGAAACGTTGACGAAATATCGGTCTTTTTAAAACACAATAAATAGAATAACAAAACTATATATTTATTGCATAGAAGAAATAAAATTTTATAACATTTTTTTACAAGAAAACAAAACTATATCTATATATTCAATAGAAAAAATAAACTTTTGTAACAATTTTTTTAATAAAAACATATTATTAACATTAAGCTATATTAATTTGACGGATGTGGTTGTTTGTTTTTACACAAATAAATAAATCTAGGCTCAATTTGAGTTAGTGCAGATCGTAATAAATTTTCAACGTTTATTAAAGTTGAATGGTGATTTGATTTTATATAAGTTAATGTGAAAAAGGCTGATTCACATAAATATGTTGTACAAAATGGCAGTTATTTGTTCATTACCATTTTCGATAGTAGATGATATTCTGATTTGATTTCAATCTAAAATTCATGCACAGGCACTTGTAAAATCTAAGTCGCAAGGTAGTATCACTTGTTAATTCGGCAAATTTTTCTTGCGCCTTTCGTGTATACTAATTTTAAAATTTTATTTATAATGATTGAAAAGTATCAGATCTTTGAGACTCCTCTGCAGTAGTCTCGCGACCCCCCTGGGGGTCGCGACCCACACTTTGAGAAGCCCTGTCATAGATCATCTTTTGACATTTTTGTACCTGAGAAATGTATGGGGACTAGCAGTCCATGTATATAAGGTCTATGGTTAAAACAGGTAAAATAATAGGAGGGAATTGGCAAAGCGGGCGCTGAGGATCCCTGGTAATAATGTATATTAAATTATTACTAAAAAAAATGTAATTTAGATATTATAATTACTAAATATCTAATAAAATATAATACGAAATTATAAAAATTGTAGGCAACATTATTGGAACAATTAGAAAAAATCCGAAGTAGTATTGTACTTTTACCGCGGATAGTATATATTAATTTTTTCTGAATTTGTTGTACCGTTTAAAAGACTTTAATTTCCAATTTAGTGTAGAAATTGAGACTCATCATTTTATTTAAAGCAGTTAAGAACATTTAACAACACTCATATTGATGTTTATGCATTTTGGTGTGAAGAGTAATTTAAAAAACATACTTATTATTTTTGGGTAAACTGTAAATATTAGTAGAGGATTGTAAAAAATTGTAGACATGGGTACAGGACAACGTCTGTCAGATCATATAGTATATATATTAAAATTTAATTTATTTTTTTATGTAATTTATTTATCGACATCCAGGTAGAATTTTCCCAACGTTGTATTCTCCTCAGGAAATTGTTTTCTCCATTCGCCTTTAAAGTATACGACGTTCAACAGCACCATAAACATCCGCTGGAGCAAAATAAATTTGTCAATATGTGATCAAATAAAAATCAATTTTATTAAAAATTTACCACCTACCATGGTTGACCAATTCCGTGATGTGTCGTTATTTTTATTTATTCCATTTGTGAAATCTATAGACACGATATCCGAGTCGTAGGACATTTTGGCAATCGCGTTGAAGCGCTGCCTTGGCTGGATCATGTGGGAAATGTAAATTCTGGTGTCGAAATCTAGATGGTAAGGCAGGATTCTTGGCCTGGAGGAATAAATAGTAATAAAAATATAAGTAATATTAACAATGTTTGAATGTATTCAACCTTTAGTGAAGCTATAATTTTTCCTGCACGTTCCATGTTGCTCTGGTAACTATCAGGAAGGGAGAATAGTCTCAACATTTCTATCAAAATTTAAAAGCACTTCAAAATTATTCATGTATATGAGTGATAAATAAATAAAACAGTGAAAATTTGTCTGTATATTTAAAAATATAAAAATATTTAACAAATTTTATACTTGAGAAAGGAAAAGCAAACAAGTGTACTGTAAAACACAGGTTAGTGAAAGAAAATAAAATTTATTCTACACCAAATTTATTTATTTCAATAACCAACGACTAATTCATTGCAGTGTAAATTTTTAGAGAGTTTACTAAAAGAATGGAATATCGTTATTTAATTCATAAAACCCTTATTGTTAAAATTGAAGATTCAAATAAACGTCGTTTCGATTTCAAAACAAAAGAGGCGTTCGAGTTCCTGAAACGCCATCTTCGACCAAGCGAACGTGCACGCTCTGCAGTCGCACGTCTACAAGTCTTTTGCACATCTATGCTTTGCGACTATAGGAGTTCGGAGAGGGAGTTGTCACTGCGAGTGAGAGTTCATTTCCATCGTGGCGATTGCTGGAAGAAGACATCGAGACGTCGTCGAACACGGACGAGCGGGCCTGACCCTTCGCTGTCTGTGGAGTACTGCGACCTGCGAGCGTCACCTGGTACGTTGCACTTGTGCTAATTATATTTTTCTTTGCGGATTCACTCGGATTGCATTTCGTGTTTTAAGATGTTTTAGATTTAATTGAAACCTTTCCTCATTTTTGTTTTTTTTTTGAAAACGTGTGCTCGATTTATGTAGTTTTTGCTCAAGTCGTACTACTGTCTAAGACGCACGCCGGATATATTTTATCTAATTATTTTATTTTGCATCATTTGGTGCCCACTGTTGAATAAAACTACATATTATTATTTTGTTGACTGGGCAAGAGTTCACAATTGAATGGCTGGCGGTCATTGTGCAGAAGAAATAATCGAAAGTAATAGTAAAAAGTTGTGAAAGTAAAAAATGACTGTTAATTCATTTTGTGAATTACTATGAGTACATTTATACGGATCGTTTAATTTGAAGTCTTATTTATATCATTATCATCTGCTAATTCACTTCAATTTATATATCAGAAGTATTGTGTAAATTGGACCACAATCATAATGTCATCACTAATTTTAAAGCAAAATTAGTTTTCAAAATTAGTTGAAAAAAAGTTACAATTTGAACAACAAATTGACAAAGAATAGTTACAATTTGAATGAATATTTGAATATTTGGTGACACATCAACAATGACATTTAATAATGTATGTATAATCAACTAAATTCAATAATAATTTGTGTATTTTGCAGGTGCGGGTAGGTTTGCGTTTGCTGCTACCAGAGTTCTTCAGTTTTTATACGAACATTGTTACTGTGACGCTCTGAATGTGGTATTTATTGGAATTGCATTTGGCACGAATAGATTTATTAAGCGGTGATTTTGTTCAAGATATTAATTGATCAATACTTTAGTTGTCACTATAACTTTTAGAAATTTACAAAATCATTAGGGCATTGAATTTCATGATTCGAATGATCACGATATGTTTTGCATGTGGGTTAATTTATTAGTTAGGTAGCATCAGTAGTTTTAATATTAATAATAACAAATACTAATACACTAATCTATTCAACTATTGAATAATAATGTGGTCGTTTGAATCATTTGAGATTATGCAATGTGGATTTGACATATTACATTAAATTTTAATTTTCACTGTTTGAAATTCATGTTAATGCATTTCATATAAAACCAAGTGCAATTCTTAAACTGCTAGTAAATTTCTACATTCTATTTCTGGTCATCAAGATGAAATCACATGGAGGCCACAAAAATCATATCAAGCAAATTGTTGAGAATCGAATGGCCAAGTATCGATTGAAAATTGAACACTGACTCACTTCACCAGGAATCGCTCTGAAAATAATTTAAAAAGTACGTTTTTATCCATAATCAGTATAAATATGAACAATAAATAACATGTTTATTTTTTTTTCAGGTCCTTGCAACTACTGCTGCTCTGCACACAGACTCCTTCACCAGGAATCGCTCTGAAAATAATTTAAAAAGTGCATTTTTATCCATAATCAGTATAAATGTAAACAATAAATAATGTTTATTTTTTTCCAGGTCCTTGCAACTACTGCTGCTCTGCACACAGACTCCTTCACCAGGAATCGCTCTGAAAATAATTTAAAAAGTACGTTTTTATCCTTAATCAGTATAAATGTGAACATTAAATAACATGTTTATTTTTTTTTTCAGGTCCTTTCAAATACTGCTGCTCTGCACACTGACCCTTTCACCAGGAATCGCTCTGAAAATATTTTAAAAAGTACGTTTTTATCCATAATCAGTATAAATGTGAACAATAAATAACATGTTTATTTTTTTCCAGGTACTTTCAACCACTGCTGCTCTGCACACTGACCCCTTCACCAGGAATCGCTCTGAAAATAATTTAAAAAATACGTTTTTATCCTTAATCAGTATAAATGTGAACAATAAATAACATGTTTATTTTTTCCAGGTACTTTCAACCACTGCTGCTCTGCACGCTGACTCACTTCACCAGGAATCTTTCCAGAAACATGTTACCAGGTATGGTCTTTAACCATATCAGTATAAATGCAAACATTCCTATAATGTTTCTTTCTTTTTTGCAGATCTTCTCGATCCAACTATTACTGCTCTGAAGCCTTAAAATCATTCACGTGAATGACTCGCAAGTGGTTTTTTTCAATGACTGTCTATAATTATGCATGATTAACTTAACTCTTATTAACTCAATAACATGACTAACCTCACTAACTTAATTAGGCAGTTAATATAAAAACCACTTGTTGAGTTTTACTATGAAGGTCTTAATGGGGTTACGTGGAAGACACCGCTGCATGATTAGTCAGGTAATTTATTCTTCATAGTATATTTTATGAACCTTGTTACTAATTCATTGTTTTCGTTTATAGGGTAACCAACTTCAAGCCAAGTGCTCTTCAACGCTCAAGTTGCTCATGAGTGAGAACAATCATTTGATCTACTAATTATGCTGTCCGTCCGTCCGTCCGTCTCTTCACCAGAGAAGATGCCTACTATGATTTATTAAAGTTAAGATAAATTAAAGTTAAGTGCTTAGATGTTAATGAAATAATGAATAAATATATTGTATTTAATTTAATTTGTTTTAATTTAATTATGAGCCACTTTACGGCCAAATCACATTATGCTGTAACGTAAATTACAGAAATATTTAAACATGTCTACATTTTAAAAATTTCTTGTGTTATTAATAGGGATACTTATTGAGTGCACTTTTTAGTGTAGACAATTGTGTAAAACAGTTTCTTTACTGTTTGGGTTTTTGCAACCATCTTGCCGCATCTTGGTTAAGCTCTTTATACCTTAGCTTTGACTCGGTAGAACTCTGCGTCATTGCTTTGACTCGATAGAAACGCGTTGACAATAGACTTTGCTTTTTTCTAAACCCTTATGTTAGTCGAGTGCCTTAAACATTTAATGTGTCAAACCGATGTTCTCTTGTTTAAATATTATACTTTCTATTATTTCTTTAAACGGTGCACTTTTTTTCTTATTGTTAGCTATAAATATCACTTAATTTAATATCATACTGTGTTATTATTATATATACTATAATATATATATATATATATATATATATTATATATATATATATTATACAATTAGACAAATGTTAATGTATTTTAGTCATTTTTATTACTGTAATTGTATGAATAAATTAATATAATTGTATTATTGTATTATATGTATGTGTGGATACAAATTTCCAGTCACGTTTTAGGGCGCACGGATCAACGGATTTGAATGGTTCAAAAAAACATTCGATTTCTATTGATAGGGAAAAGAGCTGATTAGTTTTTGGCAAAGGCAGGTCCAGCCGTTTCGAAGATACGGAGCAAAGAGTGCAGAAAATAGAAATCGAATTTTTGAGAGAACGGAGTATCCGATTTGCATGATCTAAAAAACATTCAATTAGTAATGATTGGGAGAAGTGTTTATTAGTTTTTGGCAAAGGCAGGCCCAGCCATTTTGAAGATACGTAGCTAAATATGTAAAAAATAGCAGTTTTTGAGAGAACTAAGCGTCCGATTTAAATGATTCAAAGAACTTTCTGCTTGTCTTAACAAAATAATTGATTTTGTAAAAAAAAATTTGTTCCAATTTTTTTTTTTGTTTGTTTTTAGTTTTTTGTATATCGAAAATATTTCAGATTTTATTTTATTATTTTATATTAGACAATGATACAATATTTATAATAATCTATTAGAAAACATTCAGTATTCAACGGGAAGTTCCAGCAATTTGCCTTAAGGCACGGTGCCATAATAGCCTCAAGACAGAATTCCACTTACAGCTAGTTAAATACTGTGATACATTGATTGGAAGTTTTGAATAAAACTAACTGAACTTTATTTGGAGTGTTTCATTTCACACAATTTTCAGTGATATATGTTAGAAACACACCGTATAGGTATAGGTATTATAAACATTAATATATTTGTTGATGTTATCATAAACATTAATGTACTCATTAATTCGTTTTTCGGCGAGGATTTATTATTTTGAATAAATTTCATAAAATATATTACAATTTTTGTAATCTAATTCTATTATGATCAATGCAGTTAATGAAGTTACGACTTTGATCATTTCAAATAGACTAATCTATGGTTATTCACTCATTCCAAACATGTCAAAAATGATAACACTTTTCACTCAGTTTAATCTATACTATTATTCAAAGTGTTAATTAGTTCATTTTAATTAATATACTTCAAATATTGGTCAGTTTTACTTAACTTTGGACTTATACAATAAAGATCAACTTCTCAAACTTTTCAACTTTTCTTGCTCTTTTGCACAATGATATCTTCATTGTTATTGAGAATATTTTATTTTTATTAGGTTATTTTATTATTATATTATTTGTATTAATTTTCACCGACATGTTTACTCTACCACCCCTTCTCCTTACTTTACACTACCTTAACCTAATACCTACCTATGTTAAGAACTAATACTCTTATACCTTGCTTACCTTTACCACGTCTCGAACCTGCTACCACGTTCTCTCCAGTGACTACCACCTCCTAACGAGCGACGCCACGACGATCACATTAGTACACCGTTGCAAAGTAGATGATATTGTATATTTTAAACGAAAAAAAACTAACAGGTCATGTGGCCAAATAAAAGTTGGGTTTGTATGGCCTGTGTTGGCGTAATGGGTAGAGTGATGGCTTCGTACCATAAAGGTACCGAGTTCGAATCATACCTCAGGACAAAAAAAGAGTATTGTTCACGTTGTGGTATTTATTTAGTGTTAAATAATAACACAAAATTAATATTTAGATATAACAAACTAACAAGTCATGAGGCCGAAAGAAAGCAGAATCGATGTGGCCTGTGCTGGCGTAATTGGTAGAGCGATGGATTCGTACCCAAAGAGTGCCGAGTTCGAACCATGGAATTTATTATTTATTGTAAGATAGCACAAAGATAAAATTTGGATTTAATAAACTAACAGGTCATGAGGCCGAAAAAAAGCAGATTCGGTGTGGCCTGTGTTGGCGTATTGCTAGCGTGCTAGCTTCATGTCAACAGGGTACCGAGTTCGATTCACACCTCCGGACACAAAACGCAAAATAGCGTGACTGTTGACGCTGTGGAACGAGGTATGCACGGAATCACATCCGTTCGAATTTGTGACCCCAGGCAGGTATGCTCCCCTCGATCTCGATTGAGAGGAGAGATACGCGCGAGAATCCCGTGTCATCCCCTAATGAACCCCGCAGCAGCCCCGAAAAGGGGCGAGGGGGGATTATAGGGGGGTGTGGGGTTTCGCGAACCGCGACCCTGTGGTCCGACCCTCCGGAAAAGGGAGAGGGGGGACTATAAGGGGGTGAGGGTTCCGCGCGACGACCACCACTGGGTCGCGCTGGTTGAAAAGCGGGTGCGACACAGGTTGGGTCGGTGTGCGAGTCCCCGGAGCACCCCCGAGTGCGATGATGGGGATGTGGGTGAGATGTGGGGTGAGGAAGGAAGGGAGGGGGAAGAGGGATAATGAAGGTGTAAGGGGGATGGATAGAGCAGATAGAGGAGGAGGAAGGAGGGTGGGAGAGAGAGGAGGGGGTGCGGGGGGTAGAGAAGATGGGGAGAGATGAAGGGGAGGAGGGATGAGAGCGGGGGAGAGAGAGGAGAGCGGAGTGAAGCGGGGTATGAGTGACGGGATCCGACGGGGCGGAGATCTCGTATCCGACTAACGCATCGTATATGATACGCATGATCGTTTTCTCCTCTCCTCTCATCCTCTCTCTCCCCTTCCTTCTCTATCTTTCTTCTCTCTCCCCTCTCCTCTCTTCTCTCCTATCTCCTCCCTCCCCTATCTCTCTCTCCCCTTATCTCTCTCCCCCTATCTCTCTCCCCCCCCTTATCTCTCTCCTCCTCTTATCTATCTCCCCCTATCTCTCCCACCACCCCTATCTGTCCTCCTCATATCCTTCCACCCCTTTTTCCCTCGTCACCGCATTTTCCTCACCCCACATCCCCATCATCGCACTCGGGGGTGCTCCGGGGACTCGCACACCGACCCAACCTGTGTCGCACCCAGCTTTTCAACCAGCGCGACCCAGTGGTGGTCGTCGCGCGGAACCCTCACCCCCCTATAGTCCCCCCTCTCCCTTTTCCGGGAGGGTCGGACCACAGGGTCGCGGATTCGCGAACCCCACACCCCCCTATAATCCCCCCTCGCCCCTTTTCGGGGCTGCTGCGGGGTTCATTAGGAGATGACACGGGATTCTCGCGCGTATCTCTCCTCTCAATCGAGATCGAGGGGAGCATACCTGCCTGGGGTCTCAAATTCGAACGGATGTGATTCCGTGCATACCTCGTTCCACAGCGTCAACAGTCACGCTATTTTGCGTTTTGTGTCCGGAGGTATGAATCGAACTCGGTACCCTGTTGACATGAAGCTAGCACGCTAGCAATACGCCAACACAGACCACACCGAATCTGCTTTTTTTTGGCCTCATGACCTGTTAGTTTATTAAATCCAAATTTTATCTTTGTGCTATCTTACAATAAATAATAAATTCCACGCTTTCCATTTTTTGTCCCGAGGTATGGTTCGAACTCGGCACTCTTTGGGTACGAATCCATCGCTCTACCAATTGTGCCAGCACAGGCTACATCGATTCTGCTTTCTTTCGGCCTCATGACTTGTTAGTTTGTTATATCTAAATATTAATTTTGTGTTATTATTTAACACTAAATAAATACCACAACGTGAACAATACTGTTTTTTTGTCCTGAGGTATGATTCGAACTCGGTACCTTTATGGTACGAAGCCATCACTCTACCCATTACGCCAACACAGGCCATGCAAACCCAACTTTTTTTGGCCACATGACCTGTTAGTTTTTTTTCGTTTAAAATATACAATATCATCTACTTTGCAACGGTGTACTAATGTGATCGTCGTGGCGTCGCTCGTTAGGAGGTGGTAGTCACTGGAGAGAACGTGGTAGCAGGTTCGAGACGTGGTAAAGGTAAGCAAGGTATAAGAGTATTAGTTCTTAACATAGGTAGGTATTAGGTTAAGGTAGTGTAAAGTAAGAAGAAGGGGTGGTAGAGTAAACATGTCGGTGAAAATTAATACAAATAATATAATAATAAAATGACCTAATAAAAATAAAATATTCTCAATAACAATGAATATATCATTGTGCAAAAGAGCAAGAAAAGTTGAAAAGTTTGAGAAGTTGATCTTTATTGTATAAGTCCAAAGTTAAGTAAAACTGACCAATATTTGAAGTATATTAATTAAAATGAACTAATTAACACTTTGAATAATAGTATAGATTAAACTGAGTGAAAAGTGTTATCATTTTTGACATGTTTGAAATGAGTGAATAACCATAGATTAGTCTATTTGAAATGATCAAAGTCATAACTTCATTAACTGCATTGATCATAATAGAATTAGATTACAAAAATTGTAATATATTTTATGAAATTTATTCAAAATAATAAATCCTCGCCGAAAAACGAATTAATGAGTACATTAATGTTTATGATAACATCAACAAATATATTAATGTTTATAATACCTATACCTATACGGTGTGTTTCTAACATATATCACTGAAAATTGTGTGAAATGAAACACTCCAAATAAAGTTCAGTTAGTTTTATTCAAAACTTCCAATCAATGTATCACAGTATTTAATAATACAATTATATTAATTTATTCATACAATTACAGTAATGAAAATGACTAAAATACATTAACATTTGTCTAATTGTATATATATATATATATATATATATATATATATTATAGTATATATAATAATAACACAGTATGATATTAAATTAAGTGATATTTATAGCTAACAATAAGAAAAAAAGTGCACCATTTAAAGAAATAATAGAAAGTATAATATTTAAACAAGAGAAAACATCGGTTTGACACATTAAATGTTTAATCCTTTTAGTGCCGGGCGAAATGGAGGTGCCTATGCGAGAAAAACCGGCCGAATTTCACAGTTTTACAAGGGTTCGGAAAAATGCTTATAAAAACCAAACGAGAAACGATATTTACATGATTCAAAAAGCTGCGTATTATAGATGAAATACAGAACAAAACAATGACACTAGTTTTTTTGTACTCATTTGAGAATTATAGTAAAAACAAAGGTATATATGTTTATAAATGAAGCAAAAGTTGAGTTCTCTCGTACAAAACGTGTTTGCACATACAAACAGCCATCTTTTCACCACAATTTTATATGGGTCAATTATAATGAAGCATATACTTTGTATTTCCAATATATTTTGTAACAAGATAAACAATATTACATAACAAAAATAAAACATAACTTGAAGGTACACGGTAGGCGCCAGGCGGATTATCTCTTTCGAAATATGTAATTGTTATCAGTAATATAACATTGCTGAAACAAAATTATGTTTTCATAAATATTTATATTTATATATTGCAAATGTGTAAAATTTTGTTATTGCAACTCAAACAAATAATTTATTTAGCATTCGTGGCTACTAATGCACACTCCATGCAATCCTTTGTTGCACTTATTGCAAACTGTGCGTGATTTTCTCTTTGGGCCACCATCCTTTCTGCTGCACACCACGCAAACCCTTTCCAGTTTTCCAGGCAGTTTCCGTACTTTACCATCGGTGTTTATGTTAGACTTCGGTACCTCCAAGCGATAGGAAAAGGTCGTCGTCCACAAAGAGTTAAAACGAAAAACTATTTTTTTTAATTCTCTCATAGTGAAATTAGATCATTCATAACGTATTACAAATTTATTCTGAGATAGAGTTCTCTCGCAATGCGAATAGTAAAGCGCTTCGAGGCGCGGGCCGATATATCGGCTCCCGGCACTCAAAGGGTTAAGGCACTCGACTAACATAAGGGTTTAGAAAAAAGCAAAGTCTATTGTCAACGCGTTTCTATCGAATCAAAGCAATGACGCAGAATTCTACCGAGTCAAAGCAAAGGTATAAAGAGCCTAACCAAGATGCGGCAAGATGTTTGAAAACACCCAAACAGTGAAGAAACTGTTCTACACAATTGACTACATTAAAGAGTGCACTCAATAAATATCCCTATTAATAACACAAGAAATTTTTAAAATGTAGACATGTTTAAATATTTCTGTAATTTACGTTACAGCATAATGTGATTTGGCCGTAAAGTGGCTCATAATTAAATTAAAACAACAAATTAAATTAAATACAATATATTTATTCATTATTTCATTAACATCTAAGCACTTAACTATTTAATATATCATAGTAGGCATCTCCTCTGGTGAAGAGACGGACGGACGGACGGATGGACGGACGGACGGATGGACAGCATAATTAGTAGATCAAATGATTGTTCTCACTCATGAGCAACTTGAGCGTTGAAGAGCACTTGGCTTGAAGTTGGTTACCCTATAAACGAAAACAATGAATTAGTAACAAGGTTCATAAAATATACTATAAAGAATAAATTACCTGATTAATCATGCAGCGGTGTCTTCCACGTAACCCCATCAAGACCTTCATAGTAAAACTCAACAAGTGGTTTTTATATTAACTGCCTAATTAAGTTAGTGAGGTTAGTCATGTTATTGAGTTAATAAGAGTTAAGTTAATCATGCATAATTATAGACAGTCATTGAAAAAAACCACTTGCGAGTCATTCACGTGAATGATTTTAAGGCTTTAGGGCAGTAATAGTTGGATCGAGAAGATCTGCAAAAAAGAAAGAAACATTATAGGAATGTTTGCATTTATACTGATATGGTTAAAGACATACCTGGTAAAATGTTTCTGGAAAGATTCCTGGTGAAGTGAGTCAGCGTGCAGAGCAGCAGTGGTTGAAAAAACCTGAAAAAAAAATAAACATGTTATTTAATGTTCACATTTATACTGATTGTGGATAAAAACGTACTTTTTAAATTATTTTCAGAGCGATTCCTGGTGAAGGGGTCAGTGTGCAGAGCAGCAGTATTTGAAAGAACCTGAAAAAAAATAAACATGTTATTTAATGTTCACATTTATACTGATTAGGGATAAAAACGTACTTTTTAAATTATTTTCAGAGCGATTCCTGGTGAAGGAGTCTGTGTGCAGAGCAGCAGTAGTTGCAAGGACCTGAAAAAAAATAAACATTATTTATTGTTTACATTTATACCGATTATGGATAAAAATGCACTTTTTAAATTATTTTCAGAGCGATTCCTGGTGAAGGAGTCTGTGTGCAGAGCAGCAGTAGTTGCAAGGACCTGAAAAAAAAATAAACATGTTATTTATTGTTCATATTTATACTGATTATGGATAAAAACGTACTTTTTAAATTATTTTCAGAGCGATTCCTGGTGAAGGGGTCAGTGTGCAGAGCAGCAGTGGTTGAAAGTACCTGGAAAAAAATAAACATGTTATTTATTGTTCACATTTATACTGATTATGGATAAAAACGTACTTTTTGAATTATATTCAGAGCGATTCCTGGTGAAGGGGTCAGTGTACAGAGCAGCAGTAGTCGAAAGAACCTGAAAAAAATAAACATTGTTTATTGTTCACATTTATACTGATTATGGATAAAAACGTACATTTTGAATTATTTTCAGAGCGATTCCCGGTGAAGTGAGTCAGTGTTCAATTTTCAATCGATACTTGGCCATTCGATTCTCAACAATTTGCTTGATATGATTTTTGTGGCCTCCATGTGATTTCATCTTGATGACCAGAAATAGAATGTAGAAATTTACTAGCAGTTTAAGAATTGCACTTGGTTTTATATGAAATGCATTAACATGAATTTCAAACAGTGAAAATTAAAATTTAATGTAATATGTCAAATCCACATTGCATAATCTCAAATGATTCAAACGACCACATTATTATTCAATAGTTGAATAGATTAGTGTATTAGTATTTGTTATTATTAATATTAAAACTACTGATGCTACCTAACTAATAAATTAACCCACATGCAAAACATATCGTGATCATTCGAATCATGAAATTCAATGCCCTAATGATTTTGTAAATTTCTAAAAGTTATAGTGACAACTAAAGTATTGATCAATTAATATCTTGAACAAAATCACCGCTTAATAAATCTATTCGTGCCAAATGCAATTCCAATAAATACCACATTCAGAGCGTCACAGTAACAATGTTCGTATAAAAACTGAAGGACTCTGGTAGCAGCAAACGCAAACCTACCCGCACCTGCAAAATACACAAATTATTATTGAATTTAGTTGATTATACATACATTATTAAATGTCATTGTTGATGCGTCACCAAATATTCAAATATTCATTCAAATTGTAACTATTCTTTGTCAATTTGTTGTTCAAATTGTAACTTTTTTTCAACTAATTTTGAAAACTAATTTTGCTTTAAAATTAGTGATGACATTATGATTGTGGTCCAATTTACACAATACTTCTGATATATAAATTGAAGTGAATTAGCAGATGATAATGATATAAATAAGACTTCAAATTAAACGATCCGTATAAATGTACTCATAGTAATTCACAAAATGAATTAACAGTCATTTTTTACTTTCACAACTTTTTACTATTACTTTCGATTATTTCTTCTGCACAATGACCGCCAGCCATTCAATTGTGAACTCTTGCCCAGTCAACAAAATAATAATATGTAGTTTTATTTAACAGTGGGCACCAAATGATGCAAAATAAAATAATTAGATAAAATATATCCGGCGTGCGTCTTAGACAGTAGTACGACTTGAGCAAAAACTACATAAATCGAGCACACGTTTTCAAAAAAAAACAAAAATGAGGAAAGGTTTCAATTAAATCTAAAACATCTTAAAACACGAAATGCAATCCGAGTGAATCCGCAAAGAAAAATATAATTAGCACAAGTGCAACGTACCAGGTGACGCTCGCAGGTCGCACGTACTCCACAGGCAGCGAAGGGTCAGGCCCGCTCGTCCGTGTTCGACGACGTCTCGATGTCTTCTTCCAGCAATCGCCACGATGGAAATGAACTCTCACTCGCAGTGACAACTCCCTCTCCGAACTCCTATAGTCGCAAAGCATAGATGTGCAAAAGACTTGTAGACGTGCGACTGCAGAGCGTGCACGTTCGCTTGGTCGAAGATGGCGTTTCAGGAACTCGAACGCCTCTTTTGTTTTGAAATCGAAACGACGTTTATTTGAATCTTCAATTTTAACAATAAGGGTTTTATGAATTAAATAACGATATTCCATTCTTTTAGTAAACTCTCTAAAAATTTACACTGCAATGAATTAGTCGTTGGTTATTGAAATAAATAAATTTGGTGTAGAATAAATTTTATTTTCTTTCACTAACCTGTGTTTTACAGTACACTTGTTTGCTTTTCCTTTCTCAAGTATAAAATTTGTTAAATATTTTTATATTTTTAAATATACAGACAAATTTTCACTGTTTTATTTATTTATCACTCATATACATGAATAAGTGCTTTTAAATTTTGATAGAAAATTTAGTTCTACATTCCTGCAACACGTGAAGCCATTAAATATTATATAAATACAAACATACAATTTTTTCAAGTTTTAACTTATTAGTTTACAATAAAATTACTAATGATGACACAAACTAGCCACAAAACCTTTGTAAACTAACAAAGTTAGCGCAAAAGAGTCTTACTGTGTACTTATTGAGAGTAGAGTTGGTTAAATATTTTGAAATATAAAAAAATCAAACCAAGGTCAAAAGAAAAATATAAATTAATTAAAAAAATGTTTAATATAACATTTTTCTTTAAATTTCGTTTATTTTAAATAATCAAAATCAAATGACATTCTGTGAGAAAACACAAAATAAGCAATTTGAATTATCTAGTGAAAACAAACCACTCCTTTGCAAAGTTGAAAAACAATTAAATGAATAACATATAATAAATACTACTTTTTACATTTTATGATTATTTTATTTGATCATTACAATTTTTACAAGTGTATTTTAATAATTAATTATTTTATAACTACTTAAGACTAATTTTATAAAAAATTTAGTACAGTAATCTATGTGATTACATATTGATTTGGTCAGTTGGTATAAGTTTTACAATGAAACAAAACTTTAAACAAAATTTTCATTTATCAAACAAGTTTCAAATCTGAATTTACTGTGATCATAATATAACAATTCAAAATTATGTATACAATTGTTCATTATAAAAATATTCTTCAAACAGCTTAAATGGTGTTCATAATAAAATAAAATCAATTTTCAAAATATAGAAAATTCAAAAATTTATTTTTAGAAATGTGAAAATACCATGCTAGATATATGTCGAAACACAAACACACACATACACATCACAAACATTATAAAGTTATTGGTATATATAAGAACGCAAGTAAATATATACACACTGTAATACTATGCTATACATAAATTTAAAATTTTGTTTAAATATACGTTGCATAACTTTAGCTTTTTTATGTCTGTAAAGATAGTTATATATATATATCTCAAATTCATATTACTGCAGGTCAAAATATCAGACAAAAGTTGGAAATTTTGAGACTACTCTCCCTTCCTGATAGTTACCAGAGCAACAGGGAACGTGCAGGAAAAATTATAGCTTCACTAAAGGTTGAATACATTCAAACGTTGTTAATATTACTTATATTTTTATTACTATTTATTCCTTCAGGCCAAGAATCCTGCCTACCATCTAGATTTCGACACCAGGATTTACAGTTCCCACATGATCCAGCCAAGGCAGCGCTTCAACGCGATTGCCAAAATGTTCTACGACTCAAATATCGTGTCTATAGATTTCACAAATGGAATAAAAATAACAGTGATGGTACTGTCATTAAATACGATAGTGCTGCCATTATGAATCAGTGGGTCGCCAATGTTACAAGGGGACACATCACGGAATTGGTCAACCACGGTAGGTGGTGAATTTTTAATAAAATTGATTTTTATTTGATCACATATTGACAAATTTATTTTGCTCCAGCGGATGTTTATGGTGCTATTGAACGTCGTATACTTTGAAGGCGAATGGAGAAAACAATTTCCTGAGGAGAATACAACGTTGGGAAAATTCTACCTGGATGTCGATAAATAAATTACATAAAAAAATAAATTAAATTTTAATATATATACTATATGATCTGACAGACGTTGTCCTGTACCCACGTCTAAAATTTTTTACAATCCTCTACTAATATTTACAGTTTACCCAAAAATAATAAGTATGTTTTTTAAATTACTCTTCACACCAAAATGCATAAACATCAATATGAGTGTTGTTAAATGTTCTTAACTGCTTTAAATAAAATGATGAGTCTCAATTTCTACACTAAATTGGAAATTAAAGTCTTTTAAACGGCACAACAAATTCAGAAAAAATTAATATATACTATCCGCGGTAAAAGTACAATACTACCTTGGATTTTTTCTAATTGTTCCAATAATGTTGCCTACAATTTTTATAATTTCGTATTATATTTTAATAGGTATTTAGTAATTATAATATCTAAATTACATTTTTTTAGTAATAATTTAATATACATTATTACCAGGGATCCTCAGCGCCCGCTTTGCCAATTCCCTCCTATTATTTTACCTGTTTTAACCATAGACCTTATATACATGGACTGCTAGTCCCCATACATTTCTCAATATTTATTATTAATATTATGATATTCAATTATTAAGATGCTTATTGTAAGACAATGAGATGAAAGCAAAATGAAGATATATTATTAATAACAATTTCTGATTATTGCTCTCTTGCAATACCAGGCAGTGAGGACGTAGTTGGACTGAACACAGACTGCAGGCCCATCTAAATAACAAAATTTCAATTTCAAATCAAATAATTCTAAATAATGATGCTCTCGATCAGTAGAGACCTTACCTCTTTTAAAGTATCAACAAGTTTTGCTTTAAAATCAAACTTGTACTTTGGTAAGGTAACATTGAGTTCAACTTCATCCATTAGCCACAATTGCTGCCTCAGAAGTTGGCCGTTCAAATTCTGTTGTAAATGTTGTAATCCGTTTCTCATTGTGCTTGCCAATATGAATATCGCACTGAATTTTCCACCCTTCGAAGAAATACAATGTAAATAAAATATAATATATATATATATATATATATATAAATATTTACCTTATATGGCATTCTTAAAATTTTCGCATCTAACTCTTTTGAGTCCTGATAGAGAAAGACTCCTTGCTGTCTCATAAAAGGTACTGTGATTGGCCTAATAATAAAAATGGTGATAAATTGATTACTTCATTTGTTTACAGAAAACATTTGTTGTTTTTTTTATAAATATATACAGGGCGTGTCTGGTCGGCCAAATAGAAAAAAACAACAAATTCAAAGGCGGCCATAACAAAAATTGGTCGTAATAAATAGCTGTCGCATTAAAAGTCTACTGAATTAAAAGGCGGCCAACTCATTCGCTGCCGTATTTAAAGTCCGCTGTATGTATCTAAAAAACCACCCTAGTAAAAATCAGCCAAAGGCGGCCGTAAATAATGCGAGATCGAATCAAAAACAGGCAACTCTAAGCTCTGTTCACAAATAATTTTTAAGTGTATAAACTTGGTGTAAGTGGCAAGTTGCGTGAACTCTCCAACATGTGTAAATAATCCACTTAAATACAAAAAATATATTAATTCAAGAGTACATTGCAATGTGAAAAACTATCGCAAAACTATCGAAACAAACTGTAGTATATTCATTAAAAACAGGATCCAAAATTGCCAAAGAAATTTATTAATCAATAACTGAGAAACGACTCGTCGATCATGGAAAAAATTTAATCAGCACGATTCTCAAATAGAACGTTTGTGATGGTTTTTGAATTTTCAAAATCACGAATTCACGAATGTAGGCTATATATAACGTGGACAAAAAATTTGATTTTTAAATAGGATTATGCATTTTTGAGGAAACGTCGACTAAAGATGAAATTTTGACTTACGTAAGAAAGCACTGCTCCTTTTTTCAAACTTTGATAGTATTTTAAAAATTAAAACAACTTACCGTAGTGTCGAAATATTTAGTTATTTTTGAAACCGTGATCACTATCGGCAATAAAGTTTTATAAATATCATCGTAACGAAATATTTAACAATTCAATACGAAGAAACAATCCGACCGATCTCTTAAAACAAATCAGCACGATCCCCAATTGATATCTTTTGAACAGTTTCTGATTTTTTAAAAACTATGCAGGATTTTTGGCTAAAACGTGTACAAAAAATTTTACCTTTTTCAGTTGATTAGAAACAGCTTGGCCGATTGTTGCACAAAACTGAAAGGCGCTTGTCATCTAGTTACATCAAATGACTTTTAAAGTTTTGAAATGGATTTAACCGTTTTTGAGAAAACGTTCGCAAAAAGTCAAAAATCGGCTCATGAAGTGAAGGGCGGCACCATTTGGGGGGCGGCAAATTTTTCAGAATGTCAAAATTTCAAATCCGAAAAATTGTCACGGCAATTTATTTTTAGCATTGATCCTGATCTCGATAATTTTCTATGAGATAGAATGTTATTCGTTTTCTAATCAAACTTATTCATAGGCGCATCATTAATATTTTTATTGATGTATAATGTTTAAAATAAAATAAAAAATCAAATTGATAAGCATTTTTGGGGAAAATAAAATAAAATAAAATAAAATTTTTGGGAGAAATTATTTTTAAAATAAAAATTATTAAATTGATAAGCTTTTTTGGGAGAAATATTGAAGCTCTGTTCATTTCTTGCAACTTTGTTAAGATGAATCTTACATACAAAACGCTTAAAATGGTTTTAAATAGTTTCATATTTTAGTTCGGAAATTAACATAACATATTAATTGTTATTTTATGATAATTTAATTATTTTGTTGTTCGTATATATTTTTAACTTCCTCTAGGGCAAGTTATTGTAATCGTCCAAAAATCGAATTACATTTCTCGAGATTTTGAAGGTTTCTGAACATTTTGGCATACTTCAGAAAAAATGGATGTGTGTGTGTGTGTATGTATGTATGGATACAATTTTTCGTCCACGTTTTCTATAAATATTTTCAGAACAAGACATACTCATATATTATATATATATATATATATATATATATATATATATATATATATATTACATGTTTAATATGAACAAAACAGCACTCAGATTTTTTTAACACAACTTTATTTTATGATTACACACGTTTCGAGACCATGGTGTACCTCATCTTCAGTAT